TGGCACCTTAGAGACTAACAAATTTATTTGAGCATAAGCTTTCGTGAGCTACAGCTCACTTCATCGCATGCATTCAGTGGAAAATACAGACTAACGGCTGCTACTCTGAAACCTGTCATTATGCAAGGCACTGAATTTAGCCGTATGGAGTGGAAATCTATCAACTTCATGAAAAAACTCGTACAGATACAGACAGACATCATCTTCCTCTCCAAATGCAAACAGATGGACATCATACCAAAAGGACTGAAAGTAAAAAATCCATTACAATCTACATACCACACAGACTATGCTGACAGCATTCTTAAAACTACAATACCCACTTGCTGAAGTGAAAGAACAGATTGACAGAGCCAGAAGAGTACCCAGAAGTCACCTACTACAGGACAGGCCCAACAAAGAAAATAACAGAATGCCACTAGCCATCACCTTCAGCCCCCAACTAAAACCTCTCCAACGCATCATCAAGGATCTACAGCCGATCCTGAAGGATGACCCATCACTCTCGCAGATCTTGGGAGATAGGCCACGCCTTGCTTACAGACAGCCCTCCAACCTGAAGCAAATACTCACCAGCAACCACACACCACACAACAGAACCACTAACCCAGGAACCTATCCTTGCAACAAAGCCCATTGCCAACTGTGTCCACATATCTATTCAGGGGACACCATCATAGGGCCTAATCACATCAGCCACGCTGTCAGAGGCTCGTTCACCTGCACATCTGCCAATGTGATATATGCCATCATGTGCCAGCAATGCCCCTCTGCCATGTATATTGGTCAAACTGGACAGTCTCTACATAAAAGAATAAATGGACACAAATCAGACTTCAAGAATTATAACATTCAAAAACCAGTCGGAGAACACTTCAGTCTCTCTGGTCACTCGATTAGAGACCCAAAAGTGACAATTCTTCAACAAAAAGACTTCAAAAACAGACTCCAACGAGAGACTGCTGAATTGGAATTAATTTGCAAACTGGATACAATTAACTTAGGCTTGAATAGAGACTGGGAGTGGATGAGTCATTACACAAAGTAAAACTATTTCCCCATGTTTATTTCCCCCCCCCCCCACACACACACACACACTGTTCCTCAGACGTTCTTGTCAACTGCTGGAAATGGCCCACCTTGATTATCACTACAAAAGGTTTTCTCCCCGCTCCCTCTCCCCCCCCTCCCCCCGCTCTCCTGCTGGTATTAGCTCATCTTAAGTGATCACTAAATTGGTTAGTCGCTAAGGTGCCACAAGTGCTCATTTTCTTTTTGTGAATAGAGACTAACACGGCTGCTACTCTGAAACCTCTCCTTACAGTGTGTATGGTAACACCCATTGTTCCATGTTCTCTGTGTATATAAATCTCCCCACTGTATTTTCCACTGAATGCATCCGATGAAGTGAGCTGTATCTCACGAAAGCTTATGCTCAAATAAATTTGTTAGTCTCTGAGGTGCCACAAGTCCTCCTTTTCTATCCAGACAAGACATTCTTCATCAGGGCCTGTTAATAAGCTTGTCAGTACAAACAGATGAAACTCTCTCTTAGGTGGTCCTTTGCTGATCTCAGTGAATATCAGTGCTGAAGTCAACCAGCAAAGACTGCTGTTCATCTTGGGGGAAGAAAGGGGGGGCTGGAGTATTTGCTGTATTTTTATCTCTCTATTTCAGAATCAGATTTTTTTTCTTGTTTTGGAGGGATTTTTTTTTCCAGAAAAGTTTAGACAAATGCCTTCACACAGTGCCCCATGAGTGTCTTGTTTTAGCCTACTGGAAGGACTGTTTTCTTTCCCAGATGCTGTCCCACTATCAAGATTATTTGAAATAGGTCAGTTTGTAAGAATTAAAGATTTTATCTCCAACCTATTGACGTGCACTTAGATATTACAGAGATTGGCCCTATATATTGGCTATATATATATAGGCTACATATATATATACACCACAGATAGTTAAACTCAGAGACAAAATGTGGCTTCATGTCTTAGACTCTTGTTAGAATCTGTTCATGAGACCCTCCAACCTATGAAGAAACTACATATAGGTGGCTAAACCCACATATCTCAAAAATGTGCCAGATTAAATGTACTCATTACAATAGCAACTGTTTCCTCTGTGTTAAGAGGCAATGTATTCCTAGGTCTATTTTTGCATACATTCTGTTATGTCCCAAGACTTCAATAAAGATAATTAAGCTTGTTGGTCTGTGGGTTATCCACTCTTGTACTCTGTTACTCAACTGCTTCTTTCAAGCCAGAGATCCAAGCTCGTGCAGAAAAAGAATACATTTTTATGTCCAGCGCATTTATGTTCTGCTGAGTCTTGTATGCTATTTTGCCTCTACAGGTGTTTGATTTTTTTTTTAACCTGTTGATATCTACATTAACCACATAGCTGTAGAGTTTATTGTCGATGAAATTTTCCCAGCTAAATGTCTTTGCGCAATTTCTATTCTTGCCTTGCTATGTTTTTGTCCTCATCCTTGCAGTAGAATGATCTGATTGCTTGTGACAGGTTGAGCAAATATCATTCCTATTCAAAACAGTCCCTGCTATTTTGCATATACAGTGAGATTATATACACCTCTACCCCGATATAATGCAGTCCTCAGGAGCCAAAAAATCTTATCGTGTTATAGGTGAAATCGCGTTATATCGAACTCGCTTTGGCCTCGAGCATTTCCATTATTAATAGTCACTTCCTGCCCCGACTGACCCCTCAGAACCCCCGACCTATCCAACCCCCCCTTCCTTGTCCCCTGACTTTCCCCTCCAGATACCCCTGCCCCTAACTACCCCTCCCAAGACCCCACCCCCATCTAAGCCCCCCTGCTCCTTGTCCCCTGACCGCCCCCTCCAGAGACGCCTCCATCCCTATCCACACCCCTGCCCCCTGACAGGCCCCCCGGGACTCCCACGCCCTATCCAACACCCCGAGACCCCTCGGCTCTGGCCCAGCACCCTTAACATGCCGCTCAGAGCAACATATCGGAGACAGACACGTTGATACACTGATCTGCCGGACCACGCAGCCCCACCCCCCAGAGCACTGCTTTACTGCATTCTATCCAAATTCGTGTTCTATCAGGTCGCGTTCGATTGGGGTAGAGGTGTATTTAAAAGATGGTGCCACCCATTTTTCTCTGCAGTGTTTGAAAAGCTGGTATGGAAAGAAGCTGTTTTCATCAGGTGGAGACTCCAGGACTGAAATGTACTTAAACAATATATTCATTAGCTGTAATTCTTGAGTGGGAGGGAGAATACATGTGTGCATACACACAAAGTTTAGAATGCAAGCATGATTTGTTGTTGGCAGTTCTCCGGAAAACTCAACAGGGAGATGATGGTGAGGAGCAAAAGTAATAGAATTATCATAACAATCAAAAGTCACAGCTGTTGTTTTGAACTTGTAAATAGTTTTTATTTTTCCTTTTGGTATACATTTGTAACTAAAAAATAATAAGGTATGCGCTGTGTTACCATCCTGGGACAAACTTTTGCACAGACAGTTTTAGTTACATTTAAAAATTGCCTTTTCTAATCTAGAAGGAGAACCTCCTGACCCCCTGGGAAACTAAAGCTCTTTCTGACAGCTCAATGGGTTGGTCCTCTATGTTGCCTCAGTGTAATCAATGAGCCCCTACTCTTTATCAGCCTGCCACACAAATTTCAATAACATTTGTTGCAGTATTACCTTCATGTATACACACATACACATACATGCTCATCAATATGCAGAAAGTTCTGAAATTGTCAAATGTCATGGATCTTTAAAAAAATAAACAAATGGAAATCCTGGGATCTGTAACTTCCATGACAGCTGTAGGAAAAGTTTATTCTTATCAGATTGTAACAGTTGAAAGCAGACCCCATTTTGGACCTACATTCTGGACGGGACATATATAAACAGTCAATTGTGCAGAGTTAAGTTCAACTCCATGACACATTTGGGTCAGTTAACACTTCTGAAACAAGCTGTTGGGGACTTTTCAAAACCAGTGATATGTAGCTAGTTAAGGCATGCTCACCTTAGTTCCTGATTCTCCCGTGGCTAATTTGTTACCTCACAGAATAACAGATAGCTGCTGACTTAGATCTGGTCAATAAGGGCCAGTCCAGCTCCCACTGAAGTCAGTTGGAATTAGATGAGGTCCTAAGACTGCGATGCCTACCACTTTTATTATACTGGAGTACTGTGTTGACCCTCCTGTTATACTGCAGGTAGATAAACAGTGGGCAGGTGATCGGGGTTAATATTCCTTTAGAATTGAATGGATGCAGAAAAGTATCATGTATGATTATCCAGTTGAATCTCACACCTTCATTATATATTGCCAGTGGGAATCATGAGTAGAGTTGGAAATATTAACTATGAAATCTGAAACCACACTAAATTAGCCTGGTTTCAGAATTTATTGAAACACAGAACTCAGTCCACGTTTGTCACATGTTTAAATTGCATGAATTTTGCTTCTCACATCTAGAGTGATCTGTAGTTTTGCATGGAACCTATGTCAAATTTAGCTTTGTTGTGAAGTGTTATCATCTCAGGCTTTTAGATAAACAAAGGCCTGTTGCTTTTACAGTTTCACTTTTGAAATTTAATGCAACTGAGCACAGCTTTTTTGTCTGCTGTGAGGCCCAGTATATGAAACAGTAATGGGGATTGTCTCTAAGTGTGGGACACAATATAAATATTAGTTCCAGAGTTTTAAAGTGGCCTGGAATCATTTGCATGAGTCAGATTTTCTGAGACCTTAGTTTCATTATTTCCAATTCTGATGTTGATATTATACAGTAATTGAAGTATGAGCACACAGGTTAGTGTGCAACCTAGGTAAATGTACTGTGAGGACAAAATAAGGCTTGGTTGGGACATACATATGATTTTAAAAAACAAGTTGGTAAGTGCAATCAATAATGAGCAGCCTAGGCTGTGTGCTACTATTCTAAACGGTAGAGTATATTTACGTTTTATGTCTACTTTTCTTTTAGCTGCAAGAGAATCAGTCTGGTTAGAAAAAGAAGAGAGGGCACGGCAGCATTATGAAAAACACCTGGAGGAACGCAAAAAGAAGTTAGAAGAACAGAGGCTAAAAGAAGAGAGAAGGCGAGCTGCAGTAGAGGAAAAACGAAAGCAGAGAATAGAAGAGGACAAGGTAAGAGGGCATTCCATACAGTCTTTCAGGCAACTTACTCTCCACTAAATGGTGTAGCAACAAATTGACCAATATGTCATTTAAAAATTAGCAGTAAGGTTGGAACGTGAGTCAAGGTTAATGTGGGGTACGTTGCAAAAGGAAGGCTTTTTTAACTTTTTTAACTTTTTTTTTTTAAGCTGTGTCTGCACTGATACAACTTTTTATTGGTCCCTCTACAAAACTGATCTCCGCAGTCCAATAATATGTGTGTTTTAAAATACGTCTCTGGCAAGGTACAGCAGAGCCCAAACTGACCTGAAAATCAAAATTTAAAACCCTGTAGAAAAATGAATTTTGTGGTACCTGTAATATTGATAGTAGGTTGCTAGTGATTCAGTGTGACCATAGTTAAATACTAAGCGTCTAATTCAGAAACTGTCAGGAATGTGAGAGAGTACAGTAAGTGTAGATTTAATAATAAATTTGTTTCTGCTTAACTGCATGGTGAATGAGCTGGTAGCTACTTGCTGTGTGACCCGTGAGCAAGTCAGCTCACCTCTCTGCTTTCCCTCCCACCTTTTGCTTGTCTTGTCCATGTAGAGTATGTCTACTGCAATCAGAAGTGTGATTACAGCTCATATAGGTGTTCCTGGGCTAGCTTTTATCTAGCTAGAATGACCAAAGAAAGCAGAGAAGATGCGATAGCATGGGCTGTACAAACGAGCCCAAAGCCCTGGGTTGCTTGACAACACTGGGGTGCATGCCATTGCCTCTTCACTGCTATTTTTAGCTGCGTGATCTAGACTACAGCTAGTGGAAGTATGCCTACCTGAGCAACAATCAAATCTCCGGTTGCAGCATAGACATCCACTTAGATTGTAGGAAATTCAGGACAGGGACTCTCTCTCAAGTACAGTGCCTAGCACGAGAGGACACCAGTTTTAGTTAGGAGCTACTGTAATATAAATAATATGTGCATTGTTACTGGTCTTAAGCAGACCTCCTATTTTCACAGTTACATTTTTGTAATTACCATAAAGCTCTGCTTTGACATTAGCTCAGTTCTATGAATGGAATTCTCACGAAGCACTGCCTATCAATTTGCATTTGACTCCACGATGACTGGTACATTTTGTCCAGGGGGAAGACAGCGTGCAGAGTGATGGAAATGTTCATTAAAGACCCAGCAGCATCCAAACATATTCATACATTCTTCTGTTGTGCTGCAGGAACGACATGAAGCTGTTGTACGCCGTACAATCGAGAGGAGCCAGAAGCCCAAACAAAAGCAAAGCAGGTGGTCCTGGGGAGGACCTCTTCAAAGAAGCAGCAGCATTAATAATACAGGTAAAGGGGGAGATCCAGTTTCTCATCCAAGCTCCTGGTCTGTATGATATACTTTGTTCCCATAAAGAAGGTAGTGCATTGTTAATTAATTCAAGTTCTTTATTCATGATCCTAGCATTGTTTCGAAGACTGGCATGTTTTTTTAACACTCTGCTTGGCTAAGAGGGAGCAAGGGGAAATTCAGCTAAAGCTTAAACCTCATTGAGCAATTGACTAACCCTGTAATTCCATCTATATCTAAAACTGCTCACTTCTGCTGCTTTGCTAGTGTTTGTGTGCACTTACGTGTGTGTGCATGCGCTGTGTCACTAATCAGCTACAAGTTACTGTATGGAAGTGTCAGGTACCAGAGGACAGCAAGAGAAAATTATTTTAAGGATTTCTGGTGGAAATTATAAAATACGAATTTTAAGCTAAAAAATACAAATAGGAAGGGAAAATGTTCTTTGAAACCTGCTGTATTATATTTAGTACCTTAGTTGGCAAAATACATAAAATTTGGTGGATATTTTGGTGGACTTTCTTCAGGAGAAATTGGAAGTGGGCAAAACGTAAAGTGTAACAAGTTATAGGTTGTCAAGTATCAGGGGGTAGCTGGGTTGAAGATCTATCCCATAACTGTCTTCTCTAACTGAACCTGCATTTACTGATTTAATAATGTGTATGTACCCTGTTAAGGTATGCCTCAAACTGAAGAAGAGAATTCAGATGTGTCCTTGATGGATTCTTGCACCAGAAAATGGTGTATATATATTAGAAATCTATTCTCCCTTTAATGCATACACTTTAATAAGTATTGCATTCTTTTATCTCGAAGGAAATAATGTGTTTACCAATCTGGTCACCAAATAAGGACAAGAAATAGTCGTATTACATCTATTTTATTGTACTGTAAAATTTATTGAACAGTTATTTTTCCATAAAATGTTCCACTTCTTGCTTTGCTTATCTTTGTATAACTCATTTGCTTTTTATTTTGCTTTATTTTGAAAAATCATTTGTCTTGCATTCTGTCCCTAGGTTATTTTGTTGAATCATCATTCACCTTTCTCGATTTAGCAGGCCTGGAGCACCACGTCAGATCTCTGGGTGGTGCTAGAAAACCCGGTACATAAATCACTGTGGTTTGTTGATTCCTCCACATGTAGCTAGCTCCTCATGAAATAGGACTAGTAACTACCTGATGACCTCTAAACCAACATCACTTAAAGACAGTGCATGCTTAACATCGTACTACATAGGTTAGAACAGTTCTTACCCCCCAGTGTTTTTTTAAGTATAAAGAAGTATTACTGGCTGGCTTAAAGGATTTGGCACAATTTACTAAACTACTGTACACAGTGTACTGTATACTGTATCATGTTGGTTTGGGTTACAAAGAATATTAACCAATTAAAAATGATCTTCTGAAATTCAGTGAGATCTAATTTGAGTACATATTTTGGGCGGTATTTTGGCTTTCTTTTACTTTTTGCATACTGTATGTGAAAGATATTTATATTTATTCTGCACCTCTTCTCAGCAGCAGGTCAGTTGCATTGGCTGCTATTTTGCTCAAATAACGTTTTAAAACATGGTACCACAACTCTAGCCAATAAATGGTGCTTGGCCTATTCTATGTTGGCAGGTTTTGTATACAACTGTCATTCACACAGAATTCTTCCAAGTGAATGGCATCCATTGAAGAATAGTCTTTATGAACTGCATGGATTTATGAGGGCTGGATGGCAGGACTGATTTAAGAGAGACTTTCTCGAGTAGATGCTCTTTCTGCTGTTGTTTCTCAACTCCAAAATGCTGCTTATGCTTGCTTTATACATCCTGTGTGGCAGCTACACGTGTACACTGTTGGTGGAATAACATACACTGTGTTCTCACATGACCAGAACAAGATATTAGGTCTTAGTTCTCCACCGCACCCACACATAGAGATTGCTATTGGAGATTGCCAAGGAACATAGGAATTGCCATACTAGGTCAGACGCAACACCCATTAAGTCCAGTATCCTGTCTCCAATACTGACTAGCAACAAATGCTTTGGAGGAGGGTGCAAAAAACTGCACAGTAGGCAGATGTGGGGTAATCTGCCCCCCATGAATGTTTCATCCTATTCCCAGTAGTTAGAGAGCGTCTTAAACTCTGAAACGAGAGGTTTTTATCTTTTCCAATACTCTCAGCACTAACAATTCTAACTCTGGATATTTTTGTTATCCATGTGAACATCCAGTCCCTTTTTGAATCCTGCTGAGATTAGATAAAGCAAAAGAGAAAACCAATTGCTCTGTGGCAGTGGATGAAAAATCAAATTTAAAAAATCCTTTCCCATTTCATCCCCAAGGCCTGTCCTGTATACTCCACCACTGGTATGGGGAATTCTTCCATTAATGGCTAGTGGAGATTTTCATGCAAAACCAGTTTGTCCACAACAACTATATTTACATATATGTAGGTGGTAACATGCGTATCGAATGTTGATGTGCTCAGCATAATGAAAGCATTACTCAAGTGTAGATAATCTCTGAGAAAATGTCATCTTCAATATTGTCAAGGTTATTTAGACATATAGATCTTGATTCAGCAAAGCAGTTAAGGACAGGTTAAACTCCCATTGACTTCAACTGGAAATCATTATGTGCTAAGGCCTGGATTTTTAAAGGTATTTAGGCATTACTACATTCAGCATTGCAACACCTAGCTGATTTTGGAGCCTAAGTCTCATTTTCAGAAGGGATTTAGGGTTCGTGAGGTAATATCTTTTATTGGAGCAACTTTTGTTGGTGAGAGAAACAAGCTGTCAAGCTCCACAGAGCTCTTTCTCAGGTACTGTGTAGCTCGAAAGCTTCTCTCTCACCAACACAACTTGGCCCAATAAAAGATATTACCTCCCCCACCTTGTCTTTCTAGTATCCTGAAACTGACATGGCTACAACAACATTTCATTGCCTGTCAATGGGATTTTGGTTCCTAAGTGCCTAAATCCCTTTTGAAAATGAGACCTAGGCTCTTGAATTGGGTAGGTATTGCAACACTGAGTGCAGCAATGCCTAAATACCTTTAAAATCTGGGTCTAAGTGGTTTGCAGCCTAATGATGAACTCATAGGCACTGAGTTTCTAATCTGCCAGGAGGTGCTCCCCCCAGCTATGCACAGGTCCTGCCCCCACTCCACCCCTTCTCCCAAGGCCCCACCCCTCCTGCTTTTTCCCACCCCCGCTGCGCCCCCCCCCCTTCCTGCCTCTTCCCGCCCAGTTCTGCCCCCCTGAGCGCGCTGTGCCCTCACTCTTCCTTACTTCCTCCCCCCAGCACCTCCTGATGTTGCAAAACAGCTGAACTGTGGCAGGCAGTAGACGTGGGATGGAGGTGGAGGCGCTGATTGGCAGGCCTGCTAGTGAGCAGGAGGCACTGCGGGAAGGGAGAGGCACTGATCAGGGGGCTGCCGGTGGGTGCTCAGCACCCACCATTTTTTCCCCGTGGGTGCTCCAGCCTATGGATGCCTATGGATGAACTTAAATACATGCTTAAAGTGCTTTGGTGAATTGGGGCCATAAGTCTAAGCAAGAGCGGAACTGAGTTTCTGCTCTTCTTGTGAGTAATTGTCAGTTTCCCTATCTTGGAAGAGATTTAATTTATGCATTCATTTTTTGCCAAAATATTTTGGAGCAGAGAATACCTATATATTGCTTTTTTTGTCCTAGTTCCTAATTTTCTTCTGCTGTTGCCAACCTCTTTGGATTGTGTACAATCACTTTTTCAGTACTCTTGAAATATCGATCACATTCTTAGCAGGATGGGAATGCTGATTTTGCATGACTTGAACAGGAGGGTGATGTAGTGTGATGCTGCATTCTGAAAGCCACAAAGCATAAAGAAAGGCAAAATAAAGCCCTTGATGTCATAGACAAAGCATGTGAAGTACAAATATTTTTTTAGTCTCCTACACAGCATTTATTTTCTTTGTCTGTTAAATCACATGCAGTTTGGGACTGACTAGCTTTGTCTTTGTACAGTGTAGGTGGAAAAATCACTTTCTCTGATATGGAGTATACTACCTATACAGAACACTTTGGCTTTTAGCCTTATCTTTGAATTCCTCTTGTGCCCATTCTCATTTGTCTTGTGTGCTAGCTTTCTTCCTCCTCTACTTTATCTTCTATTTTTATATGTTCTGGATATTGATCTCCTGGTTCACAACAGTACCTTGCTGAATATCATCTGTGATTCAACTGATGCTAAGGACTTTCTTGCTTTATAACAAGGTCTTGAAAAGGTGGACCAGAGGATTAAACATGATACAGATTCCCTGTAATTTTCCATTTCATCTGAGCCTAGAGCAAAACCTATCTGCAAGTGCAGTGAAGTGAACATTAAAATCTCATCTTGTTTGTTAGCTGCCCATTCAGATCTTCCATTTGAAACCTTGGATCACAGCTTGATTGAATGAAAAACATCCAGGATATCAGTTTATTTACCTGCAATTTAAATTAAATAGTCTTGTGCCAAGTCTTTAAGTCATCTGTAAAATGTCCACTGAGAAGTCCTTTCTATTTTTAAAGTTTTAGTGATAGAGCAGAAATTCTCTAGTCCTATATTTTCCTCCCATTAGTATACTAGAAAGTTCCATTATTGCATGTGGGCTGTCAATTAGCATTATCTCCGTTTGTTTTAGATCCAGACAGGCGGTCTGTTTCAACAATGAACCTCTCGAAACATGTTGATCCAGTCATTAACAAGCGGCTCTCCTCCTCATCTGCAACATTACTAAATTCTCCAGACAGAGGTACAGTTGAAAGAAAGAGAGAGAGAGAGAGAAAAGTGCTCTTTATTGATTCATTGTTTTTAACAATCTCTGCAGATACAGTAAGCATTTGTAGTCATTTTCTGCACTCTAAATAGGAATGAAAAGACTTCAAATGGTTGAAAGAAGTAAATGAACATTCTCTTTGCAAGAAGAACTATATTTTTAAAAGATCAGAACTTGCCTGAATGGTTTCATTTAGCAAGTGTTAAAAGCCGTGCTTCTGTCTGATTTTTAGTAAATGAGTGGCAGCTACAGAAACAACACATCTCTCCATAGCGCATGTAACCGTTTTATTTTTATACATTTATTTACGTTGAGTCATGCTGCCCTTTTTTGCTTTTCATTTGTACTTTGGTTCCAATTCTTGAACTTCTGGAAACACGTTTCACAAAGCTTTTAAGTAGTTAGTACATTCATATTGCTGATTTATTTTAAATTTAACTAAGCAGCTGGATATTGCTCATATAATGTCTGTTTATTGATTTTCTATGTTTCTTTAGATTTAGAAGGTTGCTCTGTTGGAAGAAATGCCTTGATATTTTCAGATCTGCAAACGAGATTAACAATCAGATTTTTAATCAACAGCACAACATGCAATATTAAATTGTGAGAATTTGTAAGACAAAGTTCATCTTAAATGAGTTTTATAAAATAAGTTATTTTGACAACTTTGTGTGAAAAGAAATGGACCAAGCTTTTTGACAAAATGTTCTATAAGGGATCATTTCCCTTTCCCAGCAAAGGACAATGTCCTGCATTGCATCCCAAATTTGAATTTCTGTATATGAGCATGGAAAATATACAATATATTAATTATAGAATACAGTTTTAGTTATATTTTTAGTTATATCGTGAAACTGATTGGAAAGCCTCATTATCTGTATCTTTTTAACACAATGTCCTGCAATGAGTGCATGTTTGTACGCATGTCTCTGTATATAATGTCTGTTTGTTTCTATATGTATAATATTACACACCATCTTGATAAGATTTGAGGGCAATAGCAATAAACTCTTTCTTGTGGGTTTGGGTTTCTCATTTGGGGGGAGGGGGGAAGTATGGCATAGTTTTGGGAAACTATGTAACTCCAGAACAATAGTTTCTTCCAACAGCTATTGAAACCCAGTCAATATTAATTTCATTATCCTTTCAGATTTTTTTGCATTTACTGTTGCCGTTCTTTACAAGTGATGGCTCTGTTTTGTAGGGTGTTGTTGAGGGGTTATGACAAAACAGTGGCGGTAGTGGAATGTGCGTGATAATTATGTGGAATACTGCCCGCTGCACCTGTGGTCACAACCGATTGTATTGGTTTGTGGATAATGTAGAGCATGTTCATTTCAGTCATCTCTCTACTTTTCGACTTGGTCTTAATGTTTTAAAAAGATTGAAAAGGTTAATAAATTATTTTCATCGGTGGTTTTATATACAGTGCCACTAATAGGCTGGATAACAAGGCCACAGGACGTAACTGGGCAGAGATGTAGTACTTTTGCAAAAGTTAGGACTAAGCTATATTATCCTCATTAATAAATTGTTAAAATAAAGGAAACAAGACTCTTGAAAAAGTGAGTTTTCACAAGACTATCCAGACTTCTGATTGAGATTTGTACAGTCCTTTGAGAATACAAAGAACTGTACATAGTAGCTGCCATAACCCCCTCCCCGCAGCGTTTACCAACAGCTCCCACCTGGTATTATCTCAGACACAACTGTTTCCTGTACTAAGTATAAGGCAATACTGCTGTGTCTCTGATACCATTGTGTGGTGTTGGCAAGCTGCTGGTAAATGTTGACTTTCCATTTGGAACCAGTACAAGTGCCAAGTATTACTGTAACTTCAGGATTTTCTTAAGGCACATGGTTTTTAGGTTTCATATGTGTTTCTCAATGAACCTGTGATCAGGAGGTGCCCTTATAGTTCTGTTTGTATGTTGTTGTGTGCCTATAGTATACAGTACATTACCCCAGTGTGGAGACTTTTCACCTAATAAATCTTCCAGGCAAGAAGGTGTAGTGCTTCAAGACTCAGGTGTGAATACTAGACTCCTTGGAATCATAGATTCAAATCTCTTCAGGGCTGACAAAGCCTTTCATCCTATCAGGCTAGTCTAATAAGTACCATCCTGTACAGTTTATTGTATAGGGTCTTCTGGCTAAGCGAGGCAGTGTTTGCTTTGCGTGAACACTAAAAGAGCCATAGCAGTTTTCATTAACATAGAGCTTAGCCCTTGTGCCCTTCGCCAACACTTATGGATGTGCTCAGAGGACAGGGCAATACTGGTGTCCTGTATAAGGCTCTTTAAATCTGTTTTTGAAAAGAGTTAGTGCATGTTCCACTAATGCCTGCTAGCAGGTACACAGGGCATTGACTCCACCCTAACCTAGCTGAACCCCTAACTTTAGAGTCACGGAGTTCTTAAAAGAACTGTGCTGTGCAAGAGAAAGAAGAGGCTCCTTCATCATCTTCCTCAGTGCACTCAGGCAGATTTTGCCCTTATCCTGAGCACGATGCCTGGAACTGGAGTATGATGAGCTTATCGTAGGTGGCTTATATCTGCCACCAAGGACATGACTTCTGTTAAGTAGTATCTTTTAAATGGTTGAAGAACAGGGGACTTTTCAGTTCATACTAAGAAAAAGGTTTTCATTAATGGACATTTAACTTTGCCCATGAGACTTTTTTAAATAATGTATTAATTCCCTTTTAAGTTCAGCGTTATTGTGCAGTTTTTTATTACAGTTTTAAAACTGTTCGGGCAGCTAAAATGGGTTTCAAACTGTACTTTCTTGTTTGTTATAAAGGTTCAGCTGTTTAAATCCTGGCAACTAAACATGAATAATTAACATAATTCAGACAAGGGAGTTGATACCAGAGACATTTAAGAAAATTAGATAGTGTTCTTCAAGGAAAACTTCATTAACTGGATGTTATTTTAGGTCCTGTAGAAGTTACACAGAAGTTTTAAAGGCCATCCTCTCTGAAATTGTTTTTCTTCAAAATAAAAAGAACCCAATGTGTACAGGGTGGATTGATTTAAATAAAGGTGATTTAAACCACCAAGTGGAAAACCTCAATTTAAATAATCAATTTTAATTAGCATTTTCCATTTGTACTTCAGTTATTTCCTAAAGAAAGATGCATTCTCATTGGCTGATGTAACCATTAAAACATGTTAATTTACAAGTAATAGAGTCTTTACACTAAATTTGATACCAGAGATGCTTAAGAAAATTATTTTTTGCTACCGAGAAGGGTACACTCTAACTATATACATTTATTTAAGCAATAATATAGCTTAATAGTTTGATTCTTATTAATTGTACATTTTTGGTAGGTTAGAAAATGGTGAATGATATAAATTTACTGTATAATTAATTTTTGCACATGATTTGTGTCAAGCCGCATTAGGATGTTAACTAGAATTACATTAAACACACAAAACAGCGTATCACATTTATTTTTATTAAAACAACCTTACATGTTTTGGATACATAAACTTCTCTAATCAAAACATGTTTCATATTTACAACTAAATGATTTATTAAACTGAGGGATTAACTAATTGTTTCAGGTTAGCCTGGGAAAATTTGTAAATGTGCCTAAGTGAAAGTGACTGGAGCTTAAGTTCCAACTTGCCTGACTGACTTGAAAATGAGAAAACAGTCTCCCAAGTCACTTGGGCTGAGCTACTGTGCCATATTTATAAAGCTTGATTTCAATAATTAGATGTTTTCTCCCTGATTCAGACTTTGTATGAAGAAAAGCAGACTTTAACTCAAATTTTTGATAGAGGCTCACAGATTCTGCATATTTATACTTGATTTAAATATTTTAAAAGATTGTAAGTTCAGGCCTTAACATATTTTGTATCAAGTTCAGATTTCATTTTAAACGGTTTATTTTTAAATGAAAAACATATTAAAATTTAAATAAAATTTAAAAATAATTTAAATCAAAACATTGGATTTAAATTAAAAAATCCACTCTTTAATTTTTTTTAATAGATTTTGATCCACTCTGAACATGTATTTGTCTTAAAAATCATGAGATTTAAAAAATGTCTCATGATGCGGTGGGGCCTGACTTCTGCTTTTTTTGAACGTTTGGGCTTGGCAGTACAGGTCATCAGTTTTTCAGTAAAAGAAGTGGAAGAATTGAAAAGCTTTATGCTTTCAAACTTCATCTTGGATACTCCCCCAATGAAGAGGCCTCTCTTCTTGTTTTCTTTGCCCCCCAAATAATTGTTTTGAAAGTCTTGAAATAAAAAAGTTGCTTATGCTTTGTGCAAGAGGTGGCTAACCTTTGACACGCCCCTCCCCCAGGATGCATTGGCAACTTGCCAGGAAACCAAAGACCATACCTGGTTTTGCATAAAATTGAGTTGATTACATCTGCCCTCTCTTCTAATTTGGAGGTGCAACCTGTGTAGATTACAGGTCTGAACAGTTAAAATGCCTGGTATTGTACTTCTTAGCATATGCGCAAAGTGCCTCACGTGGCATGTGACTAGGATTCATCACTGAATTTGGTCCGCTGGTTGGATCATTAGCTTCCCCAGCTTGGGCCGGGTACTGATCGGGAGTGCACTGCAATGTGAACACTGATCCATTCCCCTGTGGTATTGTACTGCATGCTAGGACCTGTAGTATCCAGGACCACATCTCTGCATTAAAGAAGAAGGTAGCTGTAGCCTTCTTTATGCAGCTCCATGAGCCACATTAGATCCAGAGGCCACAGTTTAGTTGGCCACTCCAGCTAAACTTTTTAAACTAATGGCCATTAGAACATATATTAAAGATGGAATATGGCTTTTGTAGAAGCTGTGAATATAAATAATTTCAATGTGAGATTAACCTAGGCTGCAAAATTCCAGAGAGTGTTAATGCAGGTTTCTGGTTTATACCCGTCAGAGAGATTTGGAGGAGGTTTCAGAACCAAGATCCAATTTTTAAATATTCACACAATTTAAATAGAAAAAAATGCCAATCTGGTTTGCTCAGACTTTTTTAATGCTATCAGAAGCTCAGTTTATGTTAAATGGGATCTTGAGACTTAATTTATCTAGATTTCAGAGTATGAAGTGAGCTGTAGCTCACGAAAACTCATGCTCAAATAAATTGGTTAGTCTCTAAGGTGCCACAAGTACTCCTTTTCTTTTTGCGAATTTATCTAGAGAAACTCTGCAAAGCACTGGCAGAAATGGTTGGTTCGCTTCTTCCTAGTCCCTGCTTGTGACCAGGTTAAAATTACTCCTCTTTTAAAACTTTATCACAAAGATGTTAATTAAAGGGTAGCATGGCAGTAGATTGCAAATATTCTTCCTTTCTGCTTGTTTTGGTGTTGAAAGTTCATAGTTGTTGCTTGCCTTTCAAGCAGGTTCATTGTAGCTAATTACCCAGTAAATGGATGGAACTATTGGGTTTTTTTCCTATGATGGTACAGCCAGTGTGTGTGTGTGTTATAATTTTGGCGGTAAACACAGACGATACTTGGTTCCTTTGTGCAGAAACTTGTTCTGAAATGCATTTGTGGGAGTGGGGGTCTATATTCTCTGGTTGATTAGGGGATGAGAGAATTCTACATGCAGCTCCCTTCTGCACTGATGGGAGAATAAATCTGCGGGTCTCCACGTATCAGAAGACTTTGATTACAACATGGCCTTAGGAGTGAGTGGGCATGTTATGAGTTATTTGTCAATATGTGTGTAGCAGGGCTGCCTTACCTGGTCTGGGCTCAGGCTAGCCACTGCCTCAGTTCCATGGGCCCATCCCCTCCCCAGCATCTCCACCTGTGCAAGCATTCTGGCCTGTCTCCCCAGCCCAGGGAGGAATGATCCTCTGCCGCAAATCTTTCAAGCCCTTCCTGCAGGACACAGTTTTTGTTAATTCAAACAAAAGTCAACAAAGTACCACAAAACTCCCTACCAAAGCAGGCTGTGAGGATCCAGAGGCCTTTTACTCTGCTCCAGGGCTACCCTGCAAGCGCCAACCTCCTTCCCACAGCCCCATCAACTGAATCTTCTCAGCCTTTTTATTGGGAACACCTGAGCCCTTCCCGGATGGGTCTGCTGATGAAATAGGGCTGGCTAGTCCCAGACTCCCTGGCCTATAAAAGGGGCAGACCACTCTGTTAGTGTGTGCATGCGCTTTTCATTATGGATTCTTAGGTCCCAATCCTACAAAAGTTTACCACTGAGTGTAATGTTTGTGTGTCTAACCCTGTTGCAATCAACAGGACTACACATGGTAGTAGTAAGTACTGTACTTGAAAGTAAGTGTTCATCAGGAGTAGGTCCTGATTTTGTGTCTAGTACTTGTTCTTCTGACCATGTGAGTGCCCTTTGCATTGACATAATAGTGTGGGATTTTGCTCTGATTTCATTATGATGACAATATTTCTCTAGTCTCAACCTTTAACCTCCCTCAAACTTTGTACTTTGCTAGCATGCAGTTAATCAAACTCAATTTCTAAAGATTAAGAGACAGTAAACAAATCCATGGGTTTGCACAGTAGCTAAAATAATGGACACACTGAACATACAGACAGAGGGGAAACAAAATGATTTTCTGCCCTTCAGTTTAACAATTATGTTCTATGGTTTATTCCTCATTGTCGAGATGCAAGCTTAATGATAACTAGTGTACGTTAATGGAGGCCTCTTTAGAGTATTTTGTACTTTGTGTAATCTGTGCAAGCCTGGAAATAGTTCCATTAATCGAAAAGAGCTTTTGCGGTAGTTCATTATGTAAGGGCGCTTATGCAGACAGCCTGCTGTTTTTGTGAGACCTATGTTTCTATAGTGGTGCCACTTTTGTGTTAGCAGAATTCAGGAGAGCAGCTTTGGATATCAAAAATCAGTGCTTGAGGGCAGCTGAGGAAATTAAACTCTCGTAGGATAATACTTATTATTAAGATCAGCCCCTCTTTTCATGGGACCCGGAGCAAAGTGGATTAAGAGCAGTTCAGGGTTTTAATTAATAATGTTGACCCTCTACATTTAAAAAAACACCTTGGCCTCCAGTGTAAGTTTGGCAATTGGTTTCCATTTTAGAGACCAGGCCTAATGAATTCAAGTTGCAATCTTGCTTGCTACCCCTAAAACCAAATTATGGTGAATGGATGTTTAGGTGCAATAAAACCTGACATTGCTTGCAGTGTTAAGATGATTATGAATTATTTATCAGTAGTCTCCAGTGTATATGTAATGAATTCTGATGTGCCCATCACTGCAATATCTGGTCTCTGTATACATAATTAAGGGAAATGTGGTCCCATTTGAGAGTGGACCGAAGAGATTTTTGTGAAATGCTAGGGGCCTAACCAGAAAATCCTTTTGTAAGGATTATGACAGTATTCTCTCTGTGCTAGCTAGCAAATGACACATTTTTTTCTAATATGATTGACGGGCTTCTCTTTTTTTTTTTTTTTTTTTTTTTTTTAGTGTATATGTAATTGCTCCTGTCTAGAAAAGAATGGGAACAAAAAACACGTGTTAAAATCTATGTACAGTAGCTGGGGTTAGGAACAAAATATTAGGACTTGGTAGAAGTTTAGCATATTATGTGAGCAAAATAGTGGAAAAGAAGTGCAAAGAGAGTAAATGTTTAAAATTTACGGATAGAGGCAGTAAATTGGGTTATGACTAAAATATATGCGTGACCTATGTGCTCTTAATCTCTGAATCATAATTTGAAGATGCCCCTGTATGGCTGGGTGCAGTATTTTGAGGCATCTTCTGCAACGTATGGTGATTTGTAGGAAGTGTCTGATCTAACATCTTGCTTCTATGGTGCATATTCAGCTCGCCGTCTAAATCTCAGTCCATTGGAGAAGAGCATTGTTAGCAGACTGCTGATGCCCACACATTCATTCCTGGCCAGAAGTAAAAGCACAGCTGCCTTGTCTGGAGATGCAGGTAAACCTAAAAGAGTGGACGCCTAATGTTTTATTACAGCTGTTCCTTTCAAAAATTCTTTTATTTACATTTCTCCAGTAGCACTCCAGGTTTGCATAGAGTGAGCTAGAATGGCTCCTACAAAAGCATAGAAGTTCTTGGTATGCCTTCCTTTTTCTCTCCCTCTCTCTTTATCTTAATCTAGTTTTAGTATCTTTACCAGTGCAACAAAGAAAACGCTCATAGGGCAGCAAGCAGCACATCATAGTCCACTATAGTATTAGGACCCAATGCAGCAAACATGATAGCCCGCTGTATGTTGCTAGAGCTGCTGTGTACTGCCCCTGCTACAAAAAAAGCATTCCGTACCATTGTATTATTTTTCCAATATAGAGCATATTACCCATTTTAAAAAAAATAATGTGGACTTGATTTTTTCAAACTATTTGCTTTATTTTGTGTTTTAAAGAAGAAAGAAGACTCAATTAACTCTTTTATTGTGAAGTTAATATTCATCAAGAAATTCAGCTGGTTATAGTTAACTTATTTTCTAATGTTAAATTGTTCTGTTTCTCAAGTTTGGTCCCCCGTTTCAGTGAACTACTAGTATGAGTAAAGTTAAGCACCTGTGTAAGTGTTTCCAGAAGTTCCACCAACCACAAAACAACTCTTTGTTATTCCACAGAGGGGCAGAAAATAACATAGAGAATATGGTAATGTCTTTCTGAGGTAGCTTGAAAACTATTCAAAACTAAAGAGAATGTCACGGGCATGTTTAAAACAGGATGTATTACGATGGACAAGAAGCAGGTCATTCTCTGATGTATTATAGGGAAGAAGTAGTTGCACTGTTTATAGATTGTAGAGATATTTTGTGACCACGCTATGGAAGTTTAATACATTGGTAACATACTGTTGCACCTCTTGAATGTTTAGGTCCAGACAGGTTTTCTTAGCCTTCTCCAATAAACATGCCTTTATTTGAAATAAAGGATATTGAAGGTAAGGGGGAATACCAGTTTTGCAAGACTATTTTTCAAAGATGCTTTAACTGAAGAATTCTCATTTTTAATTAGTCTGCAGTACAGTTCCATGGGGATAGCTTTGGGGAGGGGGGGAAGGTGGGTAATATTCTACAGACAGAACAATTAGCCAATGTGGGTCCTTTCCAGGGGCATCATGTCTTTAACAGCAAAGGCTGGTAAAGTTAGTACTGAATCTCATGAAATTCTATGTAGCAGGTAGGAAATTGGAAATGCAGCTAGTGGTTACAGTGATGACAGGAGAAAGCAAGGCTCTTAACTTTGCAAGCAATTACTCTACTAGAGCAGACGTGAAAATTTTTCAGTCTCATGCTAAGTAATAAATTGTAAGCTGAATGGAATATTGGCAGATATTTTAAGCAACATGAGTGGTTAATACACCAGGGTATTCAGGGTAGTTCTCTAGTAATGCCCTCTCTGTGCTAATTGGAACTGTACCACCCATTTTTAACAAAAAAAAAGTCTGTATGCCCATTGTTTTCCAATTTTGCCCAATTATAGCAGTAACTGCATTATCTGAGTGCTGGGCATTTCCTGGAGATTAATGATCATCTGGTGTTAATGGCCCAGGACTGTGCCCTGAGCCATAAACTCATCCCAGCCTGTCATTAATCCCCAGGAAATTACCCTGCTCCTTCATCATTATTACTTAAAGATGAACTTCAGAGCAAACATTAAAACCAAGTTAAATATGAATTTCTCTTACTAAGTAAGCTATTGAGAACACTGAGCACAGAAGTAAGTTTTAACTAATCCTCTAAAAAAAAATTCTATCAAGTAATCTTAGTACATCTTGATTCACTGAAGATACCCCATAAAGCATCATTCAGTTCCATCACAAATAAAATGAAGTGCTCGACTTCTAATATTTATGATGTCACTGTCTAGGATAGCTTCAGAGAATCAGGAAGTTCCAAGAGGATTGATTCAAAGAGAGGGAAATATATATATATATTTTTAAAAGTTAGTTAAAACTTATTTCTGTGCTGATGCCCCCTGTACCTCATGAGGGGATATTCAGCAAAGAAATTTGTGAAAAACTCCATTTCATGCTTGCTCTGCAGTTCACTTTCTGGTGATGATCTCCTTTTAATATTTCATGAAACATGCTCATCTTAAGTGACAAAGCAAACATGTGCCCTTGCCATAGCTTTGAAGTGAGGTTAATTTCTTTATTAATGAAGTTAATTTAGTCTTCATTCCAGAAAAAGCTACATCAATGGACCTTTATTAGAACAGCAGTGTGCATTTTTGTGGAAATATAATGTACATGGAAATACTCTTTCTCTCTCTCTGTCTCTCTCAGAGAGAGAGAGAGAGAGAGAGAACCTGGTAGAGAAATTTTTCCTAGGGAAAATGAGGCTACTGGTTTTTATATAAATAATGTAAAGGAAAAGGTACTGTGCAGAACCTGTACATTCTGTCTCTGCTATTGAGTAACATGCTGACTAACAAGTATTCTCACTATATTGTAAATGACCATGAGAGGAGAAACAGGAAAGGCACCTAAATAATTACACAGTTTGACCCTGTTTTCACTGTGAACTAAACCACACTGCCAAGAGAATAAGAACAGAACAAAGTCTGAGAATACTCTCTGACCAGCATTTCTGATTGCTACAAGAAGTACTTTTTTTATTCACTTTGTACCACTAAAATTCTCTTTGCATGTGTACTCTGAACATCACAAATCTAATAATCTACCATGTCCATATAATAGTCTTTGTCCTCTACAAACAGCTAAGGAGAGTTGCCATCCCAGACACTGACTTCACTAGTTTCTGCCAAGTTGATTATGATGGTTATAATGTGCTTATTATTATAATGGGGAAAATTTAGGGGTTGTGGATTATTAAAAATGTCTTTAGACTGGCTGTTTATCTTAAAGTGTATTGATGATGATAGCAGTTTTTGAATGAGGAGTCCAGACACATATTTCTTACAGATGGAACTCTTTAAAGTGCAGTGGCTACTACAAATTGCAAACATGTATGTTTTATGCTATTTGTAAATGTTTTGCAGTGTTGATATTTTTATGTACTATGGCAGGGGTGGCCAAACAGTGGCTCACAAGCCGTATACGACTTTTTTACAGTTAAACTGAGGCTCGCGGAGCTCCACCTACCAGATTGTGGGGGGAGGAGTTCGGGACTTCTGCCCTAGAGCGGGGTGGTGGGACTCGGGGATTCTGCCAGAGATGACTGGTGCCTGCTGATGGGGGGTGGGGAGACACACACAGTTTAAAGGTTTGTCCCCTCCAAAAGCTTGAGTCCTGCCCCCCGCTTACCCTCAGCAGCCCCTCCCTGCAGCTCCCAGGTCTTAACACCACTTGGAGAGGTCATGGCAAATAGCTGGGAGCTGCAGGGAGGGGCCGCAGCAGCAAAAGCAATGGCTCTCCCTACAGCTCCCAGCTGTTTACCGCTGCCTTTCCCCACAGCCGGCCACAGCTCCCAACTTGCTGGTTCCAACAGCTGCCATGCAGGGAGGGGGCCCGGCTGCACTATGTGACCGAGCAGGGCTGGCAAACTCTGGCAAAAATTGAGGGGGGATGTGACCCCATGTGCTCCCCCCATACATTGCTTCTGGCTTCTGCCCAGCAGGGACGGGGGGGTGTCTCGAGACATCAGCCCTCTGGGGCACACCTGCCAGGGCTCCTGGTTTCAGCAGGAGCAGGGCTGAAGCCCTGAGCCCTGGCAGGCCCACCCAGCTCTTGAACTTCTGAAGATTGTCATATGCGGCTCGGAGGGCCAGTAGGTTAGGCCACCCCTGTACTATGGTATATCCATTTGAATGATAGCATAAAATGCATGTATATTTTTATGTTACAAATCTGTTCTGATTGAATGGTACAGCAAAACAATGTATTCTGGGTAGGGTAGAAGAAGCATGCATTTATTCAGTGTCTGTTTATTTCTGAAATCTTGTAAGTTTCACCAACGGATCACAAGCTCACAAGTTATCCTTAACATATGATGTGACTTTGTCAATTTGATGTGAAGGAATGTAATTATTTTGCTAGACTGTTGAATTATATTCTCTCTGTAGATGATGAGGTGTTTTGGACTTTGTATGTATCTCTCTCTTTCAACTTCCCCTTCCTGCCCCAACTAGTTCCTGAAAACCTAATTTTAGTCAGATTTTTGCCTGTTTTTTTTTTTTTCAGATTAAAATGCATGTCAATGAATGTACTAAGCTAATCAATTTCAGATCAGTAATTTTGTGTTTGTTGCTTTACCAAAACCATCACTTTAAAAATAAAAGGCAATATCACTGTCTGATGTCCATTTGGTTTTGGACACTTTCTCATCTTTGATAAATAAGAAAATTGATAAAATCTGGGATAATTTTTAACTTTCAATTTAAAAGGTATATGAATTACAATTAGAAATGTACCAGTAGCTATTTGGGGCTAACTGGAATGAGTATCAAGTGATGCTTCTGGTTTAACTTCTAAAAGTGTTGTTTATGTATTAATACCTTCTTCCTTTTCTCTCTCTGTCTCATTCTCTCTCGTTCCTGTTTCCTGCTGTTGGCTTTCCTTTGTCACTCCTCCAATGCTGTTCTGTTTTAAAAAAATAAATGAAAACAACCCACACATAGTTATCCCCATTTGTCCTCGTTCAGCATCTTGCAGCCCCATCAGCCCTCTGTCCTACAAGGCCATGAACTGTAGAAATCCAGCAGACCAAACAAAATTCTTTGTCACAACAACTGGACGTAGGAGGACCACACAGTCAGCAGGGGTAAGCATGCTAATTGTATGTAGTCTAGCAGCTGTAGCAGAACTATGTGACATGAATACACATTAGAACATAAGAAAAAGAGACTTGGATGGTTTAGGAGAATGGTAATGGAGTCTTTCACTTCTGGGTCACCAGTTAACATCATGCTAGTTGGTAACAATTATTTAACTGTAGCTTTGTGGCTTTTGTGAATTCAGTTGTTTGCGGTTCAGTTTCCTAAAGGGCAAACATCAAACTCCCAATCAGCACCATTGCTACTGACATTCTTCTTGTGTGGTATGCAGTGTTGTTGTAGCCATGTTGGTCCCAAGATATTAGAGACACAAGGTAGGTGAGGTAGTATCTGTTACTGGACCAACTTCTGGTGATGAGAGAGACAAGCTTTCAAGCTACACAGAGCTCTCACTAACAGAGGTTGGTCCCATAAAAGATATTACCTCACCCATCTTTTTCTCTCTAATTATTCTTGAGGGTAGTCTTAGCTAAGAGTAATGCAAGACAGAGAGACTGTGAACTACTCTCTTCGCCTTCGAGATGGTCCCTTTAGATCATGGTTATGGCACATTACCAGGACTGTGAAGCTTTCATTGCTGCTGTTCTGTGCTAAATTTGTCATGTGAATAGAGTATTTCAGTCTCCAAAGTTATCAGTCTGGCACTTTTTGTTGGGTTTTTCATTACAATTTTAATTAAAAAAGAAAGGTTGACATAGTTGTTTGGTGAAGAAGGCCATTTATTATTCGCAAAAGTAGCCTATTGAGCAGTTATTCCTACTATGACAGGTTTCAGAGTAGCAGCCGTGTTAGTCTGTATTCACAAAAAGAAAAGGAGTACTTGTGGCACCTTAGAGACTAACCAATTTATTTGAGCATAAGCTTTCGTGAGCTACAGCTCACTTCATCGGATGCATTCAGTGGATGCATTCCCACTATGCTGTCTATGTAATGGAGAAGCTGATAGCTGTGGTCAGATTTATTTTTAAATATGTTTAGAAAGAACATGTGGGGGTTTTTTAATTGACTGAGAATAACAGATCTACTGAGTCTCTTTCCATCTTCAATACTGCTGGTGTCGCTCTGACATACATAGTTAGACATTTCACTAATGATCCAAATCCTGCATTTTTTGTGCACCCAACAATTAATGGGCTAGGTGCTCAAAAGTTGTAAATCACCATAACTCCATGGCAGTCAAGGGAGGTATGCCGATTTACACCACCTGAACATCTATCCATTGATTTTTTTTTAAGGCAAGTTGTCACTGGGCAAAGTATTTTCACCTGGGTCCATCACTTGCTAACATTTTTAAAAAATTACCTTTCCACTAAAACCTTGTTAACGCTAAGCTTAACTGCCCAAAGAATTTCAGGATTTATGGAGGTCAATAGGAAAAAAATAAAGGGATTGCACAAGAGATTCCTGTTTCTTCAACTTTCTTTTCCCATATTTTATAAAATCAGTTTAAGCTAATGGCTGAGATAAACACTATAGACAGCTTTTAACTAATCAAATTCCAGATCAGCAATATGTAGTGCCTTCCCCTCTGCCAGTGCTGTGCTTGATAGATTATGCTGCTCCATGAATGACAGGATGCTATCTGAGAAAAACATTTGATAGACACCCATGCACCAATCTTGTTTCCTCTACAAATTGCCAGCTATAGTTTGAATTCAATATCCCTGAAAGCTGAGGGTTTCTTATATTTAAAGGTGCTCTGACAAGTACATATGGCCCCAAATTTTGATCTACTTTAAAACTGTTATAATCTAATAGGAAATATGTTCTGAGCTCTGATAGAGATATTTTAAAAATTGCTATTGTGAGATAAGAAATTAAAAAGAAGAAAGAAAATAACTATTCTGGAGAAGATTGAGCAGTGTGTGCTTTTTGGCTGCCAAGCCAGCCAGCAGAGAAGAGAAGGAGAAGAACCATATTTCAGGCCTGTGATGGCAGCTGTGGTGCTGGCAGATAAACAAGGAAACAAAATAAATAGAGCCATGTACACTTGAGCTCCATAAACAGCTTGTCAGGAAAGGGGGATGGGAACTTGCTGTTTGCCAGCTGAAGAAATATAACATTTGTGGTGAATGAAGTGTTAATTTCAAGAATCTCCACAGGTATTGCAAACAGTGGAGAGAAGGACTTTAAAAAAGGATAATTATCTGCCTGTGTCAACTTAAGACTTTGAAAAGTCTCCCGAAGCATCTTAGGATAGCACAGAGTGACTAATATGCATGCATACTGTTAAATGCTCATTTCCTGGCACAGAACATCATTACATTTGTTACAGGAGTCCCTGTTAGTGCACTTACCAACCAGGCTGCAAAATGTGCTGAGGCAGCACTGATTTCTCATTTTCCTTTGCTGAATGTGTAGTCCTTTGCCCATGTGAATTACTCATGCAATATGATATTCTGTTTATTTGCTGATCCTCAGACTGACAAAAAAGAAAAGGACCCCTCCTTCAGCGTAAAGAGACTTCACTCTCCTTCCAATCCCAAAACTAGATCACTAGCTCTCTCCCCAGTTTGGTAAGTGAAGTACAGACGCTGGGATTCAGCTATATTAAGCTTTACATGTTATGCTCATTAAGTGACTCAGCAACAGAAAACACCTATTAAAATGGCAATTAAAAGAAGCTATAATCAGCAATGACCGCATCGCACCCTATGTTGGGGGAGGGGGGGCATTGTCTGGCTTGCTGGGGAAAGGGGTATACTGCTGTAATGGGGCAGGAGGTAGTGCGGCATGGACACTGTTGCAGAAGTAGAGCAGGACAATGTGGCGATGCTGACTCCTCCCCCAGGGACTGGAAGGGCTGGGGAGTTGATAAAGGGCAAGCCTGGTGGGAGAAACACCCTTTCCCCAAGACCAGGCGGAGCAGCGCCCACCCTCCTACGCTTGGAAGTGGCAAAATACCAGGTTTGGTCAGGATCCGCGGAGGGCAATTGCACTAGTCGCTCCTTTTTGGTGGGGCTGGGAAGGAATCTTTCCCTCACCATCAGATTGGCCAAGGTGGGGCGGTTTGCCTTCCCTACAGCAGTTTCAGGGAGGGCTTTGTTATGGTGAGTAGGGAAGGGAGTTAGGCCATGATGCTGCAACTCATTATGTAAGTGTGGGGTGGATGACCAGTGCAGATACTCCATAGGGAAGGGAGACAGTGACCAGATAAATGGCTTCGTAAAAGATTTAAAGGAGGTGTTTGTTAAAGGAACAGAACAGAGGGCGTTCGAGACGCCTATGACTGGCACAGCCAGGAGCTAATCCTCCCCATCCTTTATAGTCCACTTTAACCCTCATTTAAGGAGGGGAATGGTAAGTGATTGGGGACCAGGATGGAAAGAGGGAGTGGGGGTACTAAAGGAAGCTCCCCAGGCAGATATTGAAATGATCATGGAGTTACCTGCACTGTACACTTTTATCTGCCAGGAACTCCTAGACATCTAATAATAAAATTGCACCCTGGTTAAACCATATCCAGTGTCTCCTATCCTAGTTCTGGTATAGCCAGACAATGAACAAATCTTTAAAAAGGAAAGCGTCCAGTGGTCAGGGATGGGGAGAAAGGAAGATTATATCCCGTCAGTGCCCTTCTCACAGGTGTGTATTGAGGATTAATTAGTTAATGTTTATAAAGAGTTTTGAAGACTAAGTTCTGTATAACAGCTAAATATTATTATTCTGTCTCAACACGTTTCAGATTTCCTGTTGGTTGGGAGGGAGATCTCGAAGTAGTGATTGTTTGTTTTTGAGCTATTACAGCTTTTATCTATCGAGGGAATAGAAAGATGCCCAACGTATTGCCATCATTCTGTTTTCTTTGTGGTTGAACAGGCATGCATCCAAGTCCTTGCCTTTTTTGCCTGGCACCCCCAAAGAGAGAACTTCCCCACCTGGCTCTTCCAAAGTGACCTCCACTCAGACGCGCCCTCCCTCCCCTGGCAATATCCGCCCAATCAAAAAAGAGCTGAAACCAGATAGTCAGAGAAAAGGACCAGAAAAGGAGCCTGAGAAGGCAGCTGAGGAACACACAGAAGAGGGTAAAGCAATTTCAGCAGGTGCTGGAGAATCCGCAATCGGGGAAGGTCTCCCGGTCAAACTAGAACCGGCTCAAGGTAAGGCTCACGGATGTTTTTGAGTCCTTCTCTTTTCCTCTTCCCTTCCCACCCAGTTTATTGCATCTTTATCAGTCAATGGTACTTCTCCTTCAATAACTGGTTTGAACAGTCCTTCAAAAATTTCTTAGAACCCGTGATACATTATTGGGTTGATCCTTTACATGGCTTAGCACAACTTACACCTCAAAAATGTGATTCATGGTTGACTCTCACATCCTCATGCAACGGCTTTTCCAAGCTCTGTGACAATGGAACAAGTGTTGCGTGCCATTAATGTTAGAGAGAGTGTCGCATGAAACCATCTCCTGAAGTAACCCAGGCAACAGGAATGTCCAGGTCTGCTAGTGGCTTTTTATTATTTCCCTATTGGAAATTCAGTGTCATGCAAAGATGCATTGCCCAAGGCAGGAAAATGAAATCATAAGGTTACCCAGCCTTTCATTTTTAATGGTAAGGAATTTGCTGGTCTCTGTAGTATTTTACTGCTGCAGATACAGTTCTATCCAGGTGCAGCAAGACACAACCAAAAATATGTAGGTAGCTATTCAAGTGACAGATACAAATGCATAAGAAAAACAAGATAAATAATGTTTTCTCCTTTGACCAGTGGGAGAAGCTGGTGTTCTGTTTCTGCTTATTGTTTTAAGGGACCATAGTACTGAATGCTGAAATCTTTCTCAGAAAGCCAGCATAAAACCAGAGGGTAAGCTACATTATATCTCAATGATATAGGGCCTGGCTGATGAATGAACAGAAGCAAAGATGCCAACTGTGTTAATTAAACTAGATCTGTACCAATTTAGCCATGCTGGTACGACATGCCCATGGGAGATAAAAGCAGAATAAAGTAGAGGTAATGGAATACAAAGGAAAACCTAGGTGGGGAACAAGAAGGAACAAGCAATATAACATGGAATACATACTCCTGGGGGAATTATGCGCCAAAAAATTAAGAATTCTGCGCACAATATTTTCAAATTCTGCATATTTTATTTGTCAAAATAACACAATATAATCACACCAGTTTCAGTTATTTTTTATCATTTATTTAAAAATACCTATCAGCAAGTATGTCTCTAACAATATAGACAACAAAAAAGATTCAGAAAATGTTTTTGACAAATAGATTCCTTACTAGGCATATTAATATGGAACTCTGACTAATAATTCATTTAAACTAAAACACAGAACCGTATTTCCCGCACCCCCCAGAAGCAGTGCAAAGGCTGGGGGGAGTCAGGGGTAACAGAGGAGCTGAGGGAGAGGGAAATAATTGCTGGGAAGGAGCCTGGGTGTGAACTTGGAGGGTTGTTGGTATGGGTGGGAAAAGTATGGAACAGGTTTTTGTGGGGGGGCGGAGAAGGACTGTTAGGGAGCTTCCCCCATGCAGACCCTGGCTGACTCCTAGCCTCTCCCATTCAATCAGGCCCGTGTCCCTCCACCCCCACCCTGTCCCCATGTGTCTGAGTGCCCCCACTCTGACATCCTCTGTCCCTATGTAGCTCTGCACCCCTTCCCCCATCACCATGTGGCCCTGCACCTCCCTCCCCATTGTGGCCCTGCACCTCCACTCCTATTCAGCCCCTGCCCCAGTCTGTTTCCCCCCCCACTAGCCCTTATGAGCCCCTGTCTGACCCCCCCCCCCAGCATCCCACGCTATCTGTCTCCCCATAGCCCCATCTCCTGATCTGGTCCGCTGCAAAGACGGCTCTGTGGGGTCTTTCTCTTCTATAGCTGGCTGGGAGCTGCTGCTGTGTTCTAGTGCCATAGCGCCCTCTGGTGGGCAAAAGGCAGAACTGCAGCAACTTTTCAGCAGAAGCTTTTTTCTGTGCAAAAAAATTTAAAAATATGCATGGCTCATTAATAATGTGTGCACGCAGTGGTGCAGAATTCCCCCAGGAGTAAATACAGCAAGGGATTGCACAACCATTAGTGAGGCAGAGAGGAAAGAGATAGAATGAGATGAGAGGTTGCTGCTGCTTTTCAGAAAAGAAAAGGGGAGGCAAAGAAGAGGAGAGGTGAAAAGAATAAAAAAGAGAAAATTGAGAAGAAAAAATAATATGGAGATGGAATGTGTGAATCCATGATAATTAAATGGTGAATGGGCCAAAGGAAGAAAATACACACAGCCCTTTTATGATAGTAAATTGTATTTAGGAACAAATAATTTTTTGATTCCCCTGATACATATTTGATATCCTTGTCCATTCTAGGAACAGGGATGGAATGGTTGTTATGATCACTGATATTCCTGTTCTTTGTTACTCTGGATTCTGCATTAACATAGTCAAAGAAATCGACAAGATGGGAGGGGAGAGAATGGTACAATTTCATCAAAGTGCAGCCAAAACTCAGATCCCTAGGTGATTTGGAGGCAGGTCCATTGAAAAATGTATTAAACATTAGCAACCCTGCACGGACCCTTCACATGCAGCTGGCGTCTACTATTCCTTTAAGATAGGAGCTGGTCCTTATCTTTTGTTGCTATAATTAATAGGTAGCCCCTAGAGCCCCAGTTTTGTCTAGGATCCCATTATTCTAGGCACTCTACAGACACATAACAGAAAGACAGTTCCTGTCCTACAGAGTCTATGATCTAAGTATAAAACAAAAGACAACAAATGGATACAATGGACTGTTGGAATGATGAGACAATGGTGGTCAGTATGATTAGCAGCTGATGTGCTGAGACTGTTCCTGATGTGTTAAGTTTTTTGTAGGCATCATAGCAAAGGAGGATTTGAAGAAGGATCATGACTGAGTTTTGCAGACATTTACGGGTCACATGAGAGAAAGCATGAAGATGCTTGTTTGGAAACTCAACAAGTTGGTCATGGAGGCTGATGTCCTTCGCAGAGTGGAGGCAGGACTCAATATCTTGATTACATCTGAGATAATAAGTAGGGTGGGAATAGACCATGAAGGACCTTGAAGGTGAAGACAAATAGTTTGTGTTTGGTGCAGTGAAGAGAAGGGTAGCAGTGGATGTAAGTGGGGTAAGATTAATTTTGTCAGGGTCATAGAAGAGGATGCTATAGTAATTGAGATGCAAGATGATGAAATCCTGGATAAGGATTTTAGCTATGTAGGTGGAGAACAAGGCCCCTATATTAGAGAGATTATGCAGGAAGAATCACCAGATTTTGGACACACTTGGATGTGAGGAATTAGAGACGGCCAAGTATAACATGATGCTCATGTTATGGGCCTGCATGATGGTGCAGTGGTGGTGGTAGTGGCCATGGTGAGTGGTAGAGGAGGGAAGGAAGAAGAGCTTAAGCGGAATGATTAAGAGCTCTTCTAAGCTACTGGGCCACTCACCAGCCAGTACGTCAAACAAAGCTCCCAAAAGTACTCTCTTCAGGGGTCCCTCTCTTGCGGGGGGTTTAGTTCTCAGAACCAAAACAGTACAACATAAATCAAACAGATAGATAGACCAGGTCCTTCTGCCTGGCTCCTTTCCTGGCCCTTGTCCAGACTCTGTCTGTCTGTCTCTGAATGAGCTGCTTGCTGGCCTTTTATCTAAGGAGTACCTGATCCCTGAACTCAAAGCTATCACTTGGGAGGTAGCGAATTAATCACAAGTGAGGCTACGCCTAACTCCCTTAAGGAGCTGTCCTGTGCTGTTTTGGCCATGTTGAGTTTAAGCTGGACACCCACAAGGAGATTCCAGAAACACAGGTAAAGAATTTAATTTGGACAGGAGGAGAAGGGTCCAGAATGGAGAGAGAGGTCTGTGAGTTGTCAGCATAGAAATGGTAGCTGAATTTGTGTTTGCCCAGGAGATTACCCAGAGGGAAAGTGCAGAGGGAGAAGAGAAGGGGAGCAAGGACAGCCCTGTGGAACCCCAGCTGAAAGCAGGAGTGGGCATAAGGAGGACCCTCTTAATGAGAAGCTGAAGAAGTGATTAGAGAGGTTGCAGGAGATCTGAAAGCCTGTCACGGGCTCACCTCAGCCAGTGGAGCATCTTGCAAAGTGAGCTCACCTAATCCTGCATTGGTCAAATTAATGTTCCACTCAGGATGATCCACAGGGGCCTTACACTCCACAAAGTAAACAAAAGCCTTCGATTGACTTAAGCCAAAGGTTACAGTCAGAATTAGGCTCTGACCAGGCCTGGCTTCTTGGATTAAGACTGAGGAAAGACCCTTCCTTGGCTGCCCCAGAACTGGCCTTTTTTATCTGGTCTGCTGGCACTGATTGGCCTCTGCCTGCCTGGCCCTTCAAGCTGCTAAAGGGCCAAGTCTCACTAATTCCACCAGCAGCTGATTCTGAGAGGCTGCTCTAGGCAACCCGTGGAGGTCTGGGCTCACTGCCCTTCTCTTGTTACAGACAGCTTCCTGGGGCAGGGTGCTCCAAGGCAGTGGGGTCTCTGGCAGCAGGCAGGGAATGCCTAGTTCAACCCATCACAGAGCCTTTCCTTTTTTCATTTACAATGCATCAGTGACATTTAGGAGGAATCAGGCAACAATTCATCACCCCGCAAATCCTACAGCTGGCTGTAGTTTTTCACATCATTGTCAGTCTAACTATCTCCCTATACATGTCGCCGGCACTGCCAGAAGCATTGCTGCTTGTCTGGGTGCACTTCCTTCAGTTTGGCTAACATATTGATAGCAGCACCCTGAATAATGTGTGCCTGGCCTCTAGAGGAAAAAGTTCAATTCATTTTCTCTATTGTTTGTGGGGGAAATGACAGGTATTCAGAAGCCAGGCAGCCGAACAGAAATGTTAACTAATATTTTATTTAAGAAAAAGTACACTCCAGTAATAAATGTTATATGAAACAAACCAGAACTGTCAGCTCTGTCACTGGTTATGTTATAGGACCTTGCTGTGTCAGGATTGCCCCTGCAAATTGTCCTGTGAAAACTATATTCAAGATCAGACTCAATTGCAGCTTTCAGATTGAGGCAGGGTGCACCTAACAAGCATGACATTGTGTTTTGAGGAAGGAGGAAATGGCTTGTATATGCAACTGGCCATAGGTGGACAGTTGACATCAAGGCAGATACTCACTCAACATTTTTGGAATGAGCAAAGGAGTAATTAGAATGGGGAACTGGGAGACTCCTGGGTTCTACTCCCAGCTCTGTCACTTTCACACTGTGTGAACTTGCTCAAGATACTTGGTGTACCCATCTGTAAAGTGTGTGTAAGATCTGCCATACAGTGTTTTGAGGATTAGTTACTTGATTGTCAAGTTCTTTAAGATTCTAGGGTGAAATGTGCTAAGCATGTCCCAAGTAATCTTTATGTGGGTAACAGCTGAATAACTGCCAAACCAATGCGGATCGCTGTGCTAACGGGGGCTTTCACAAGACCTCCTTAATTGGAGGGCACTTTCAGAAATGAAGGGCCTGATGGCATTAGCAGAACCCTGGCTCAGGCTCCTGAGGCCAGACAGTTGGCCAGAAGCGAGGACACAGTAATGCAAACTGCCCACAGCCCCTGCACTGCAGCCAGTGCACGTACAAAAATGGGAGAGACCAACCCAAGCAGGGTCAGGCCATCTAGGAAATGGGCTGATTCAGCAACTCTCCTAGGCTTTTTCCAACATCAGAGCTCCTGTTGTCCCCCAGTCTGAGTTGAAAGCTGCTCTCTTCCCTGGCAGAATTCCACCTGAACAGCAACTGCTCCTGTGGGTGCACGGGGGCAAAATCCCCTCCGAAGGAATCTGAACCTCAGGAGCTAATGATTTCCCCTTCTTCTAATGTATCCCTATAGGCCTGAAAATATTTTATAATCAAAGCTCCAGTACTTCAAATTGTATTTCCCATCCTCCTAGAGAGGTTTATTCAATTACACACTGTTGAGGGTCGTTATTTTTGACACCACATTATATGGATGAATTTCCCTTTCTGCCTGTTTCAGTAGCTGCTCCAGCTTTGCCCCCCACTCCACCAGCAACTTCACCATCCCCTGTTTCTAGCAAGGCTTCGGCAGGTACTACTGACCCGGAAGAAGCAACAAGACTGCTTACTGAAAAGAGGCGGCTGGCCCGCGAGCAGCGAGAACGGGAGGAGCAAGAAAGGAAGGAGAGGGAAGAGACTGAAAGGTGACACCCAGATCTGCTCAGTGGAGAGGATACAGTTTAGCATCTCTGTGTCATTTTGGTAGCTACCATAGTGTTTAATATGGAGGGTTCAGAACCAATCCCTAAGGAAAAGAAGCATGAAAATCCAAACTGAAGGAATAATTGTGTCTTGTCAGGATTTGTTTACACAAGTCAAACAAGCTGAAAAATAATGAGACTAAAAATCTGAAAAACTTCTTAGCACATGTGTCCCCTCTGTTCATATGTGCATTTAGTGCTTTAAACAGAGAGAATGAAGGATGGAGCAAATCACTGTATCTCCACCTGAAATCAGTAAAGCTGTGATGATTTGCACCAGCTGAGGATCCTGCTCATGGCTATCTTCATCCTCATGGCTATGATGATCATGGGTGGTGCATATAAGAGGCTTGGGGAGGCTCCTGCTCAGCCTTTTCCCCTGAGGCCTTGCCCTCGCTCTGCCTCTTCCTGCCCGTGCTCTGCTTTTTCCCCCGAGGCCCCGCCCTCACTTCGCTGCTCCCTCCTCCTTCCCTTCCTGCCCTCGCTGCTTTTCCCCCCTGCCCGCCACTCGCTCCTATTCACCCCCTCCCCCACTTAAGGCAGGAAAAAGTGATGGGCCCTGGCCCCTCCCTCTTCTGGTACCCCTTAGCTGAGTTGCTCTGGCATCAGCACACACAGCCTCTCATTGGCTGGCCCAGCTGTGGGACTCCTCCTCCCCATGGCCATGGCCCCATCACTTTTCATGGTAAGGGATGAGCAGTGCGAGGAGGAAGAGGCTGAGCTGGGGGTGGGGGTGGGGGCGGCCCCCCCCCAGTTCTAGGGAGCTTCCAGTGCTCACATAAGCCTCCCCAAATGAAAGAGTCAGACGCTGTGGGTTTTCATGGAGAGTGTTTTTAGATTTCCAATAACTGTGGTTTATAGGCCTTTCCCTTTTCTCATTTAATACCAAGGCTCTCCAGTAGTTCTGGACGTAAATGATGCATGTCTCACTCTCTTTTGCCTTCTCTCACCAACTGAATCACCACTTCAGGCACTAAAGCTCGCCTCTGTTATATGTCACTCTGAGTCAGAAATCTCATTGTTCTTCTGTCCGGTGCTGCTGTTGCCACAGCCCAGAATCGCCCACACTCTTACCCTTGTGTTTCGTGGTCACAGGCTAAAGAAGGAGGCATTATCGCAGAAGATAGCTGAAGAGAGAGCTCGCCGGGAGGAGGAGGAGGCTCGCAGGCAAGAGGCGGAGAGGAAGCGAAGGGAGAGAGAGCAGGAGCAAGAAAAGGAAGAAGAGCTACGCCGGCAGGCAGAAGAAAGAGACCAGAAAGAGAAGGAGGAGTTGGAGCGCATTCAGAAACAAGTATGCTTCTCCATGGAGTTTTCATACCAGGCTGTGTGTTGGTGATTTGAGTTAATAATCTCATGGGCAGCTCTAGATTTCCTTTTGGATGTGCAGAGTATATTACAAATTTAAGTGACTTATGCACTGACTCTTGCATTCATAGATGGGTACAGAATAGCTGGGATGTATTTCTCTCAGAGGAAAAATCTAGCTGCCGGTGGATCTTTTTCTGTAGGACTTTTGTTTTGTTTTTAATTTACAATTAGCCCCTTGATATTATGGGCCAAATTCTCAAGTCATGTGACTCCCTTGAATTCAGTGGAGTTATACCAGAGGAGAATTTGAGCCCTACAGTTTTAACCTGCTAGATGCCAAGGTAACTTTACTATTCAGAGTTAGTTCGGGACGCCTATAAGAGAGAAGCTGAGGACTTAGCATAGGAAAGGAAATCCAAAACTCCTGAATTCTAATCCTTACTCTGATACTACCTGTTTGGGGCTCATGGTTTAGGAACAGATGTTGATACTCTTACTTATGTTGAATAGCACCATGCCCCTCGAGTAGTGTTATTGAAAGCAGTGAGACTGCTCAAGAAGGAAGGTACCACTCAAGGTAAGAGTATCACAATTGGGTATTTGAGCTTTCTGCCTCAGTTTCCCATCTGTAGAATGGAGATGATAATGCTGCTTTCCCAGCTGCAGTAGGGCTGCTGTGAGATTAAATTATTTAATATATGCAAAGCACTTAGATTCCTCTTCTATCTACATACTTATTTAACCCTCATTACCATGTGGGTGCCTCAGAAACATTAATGATTTTATCCTCTCAACAAATATGTAAATTTAGTCTGACTAGAATACACACAAACACACATTATATATATAAAAACACACACAGAGACACACAGTTATTTAAAGGATCGTATTAATGTAATTAAATTTATAAACTAATTAAGACATTTACCTGAAATTTTTCAGAAAATGTATTCTGCACTCTGAGTACATGCTGTAAATTGAGGCATATACTCTATAATATTCATATGTAAAACAGGATGAAACCTCCTTAAGTGCAAATCTCAATGCATCCTTATCTAGGGAACTATTATAGTGCCTCCAATAATGCAAGACAATCTTATCTTATAGAGAAAGCCCTTCAACAGTACCTCCCAAGGGAGCCTTACATTTAATTAAAAAACAGGAAGTGTGCATATGGCTGTTTGTCATTGCTTTTGTTAAGCAAGGACAATGTCTGGAGAATAGGAGGGAATTCTGCTGCTTTCTTTTGACCCTATCGAAACCATTCATCAGCACAGTGCATTAGTCTCATGAACACTTTTGCTAGCTGCTAGGTTAGGAAATGCATTTTTATTAGTCATCTTCTGTGTATTCATGCATGCATCATAAAACAGACACAGAACCAAACAAGATTACCAGCTTTTTAATTTACATAAAATTAAGAGAAGAAAGGGGAACACAGACGTTAATTAAGAAACCTGCATTTCAGTCTGAAAATTCTGTTGATGACATAACCCCAAAAGTTCCTTGTCAGACTGTTGTAAATTAAAATGTCATACAAAGATAGGCAGATGCCGGTGCGGATCAGCCATTACATTGTGAATAAGTCCCTATTTCTGTTCCTTTCCCATTACTCAGAAAGAAGAAGAAGCTCGCCTGAGTGAAGAGGCAGAGCGGATTCGGTTAGAGCGTGAAAAGCGTTTCCAAAGAGAAGAACAAGAGCGCTTAGAAAGGAAGAAGGTAATCAAATGCATGCAGGGAACCTCGGTACTGTATATCTTAGCAGTTTGTTTATTTGCATGTGCACTGTAGAAAGACATATATAGTTATTGCAAATGTTGCTTCAGGAATTCACTAAAGGTCGGATCCATGCCTAGTGAAGTGAATGGAAAGATTCCCATTGATTTTATGGGATTTAGATCAAGTCCCAAGAGGGTTTTTTTTCTTCAATAAATCCCAATTTTAATATATTACTAAAGATTATGGGTTTTAAGGTGATTTTTTTTAATCAATGTCAATAAACGTTTTCTTTCTTTGTAACTTTCGTTGTAGCGACTTGAGGAGATCATGAAAAGAACTAGGCGCACAGAAGTTGTTGACAAGGTATATGCTACATTTCATCATCCGTATAAACAGCTGGGCATATGTTTCCCTTTTCTCCAGTGCTGCTTTTAATTTACAAAACTGTGTTTCCTTTATAGAAATCTAATGAACAGCAAAATGGAGAGCTATCGAAGGCAAATGTTACTGGAGAAACAGGTATGCCATTTGACTTTGCTCTTAGCCCAGAACGAGAACAAATACATAGCCAAATAAATTGAGGTTGATAGGATTTTGGAATTTTGCAATCTAAGCTAACTGAAATCAATGTCAAGAACACAAGGGACTCACTCAGTTTTTGAGTAGATTTTAATTATTTAAAATTTCTAAATGAGAAATTTCTAAGATTATTTTTTTAATGTTACCACCGTGAATATTTCCTTTAGAACTGTGTAGCTCAGTGCTTTGCAAGAAAATGTCTGTTCTATCGTCGCTTGTGAGAATGTTCTTTAGAGTGAAAATGAACAAGTTAATTATGATAGTTATATCAAGTTTGACAGTGCTGATTCTACCATTTTACTAGAGTAGTATTACAGCTATAAAAACCGGTTCTCTCAGGGGTTTCCCTCTTAATCCCTATTTTTAGGATTTTATTTTATCTCAGTCATTAAAACAAATTTGCTCAAGGCTGAAATTTTATATTAGTCATAATGCTTAATAGTACTTGTCACTTATATATAACTTAATAGTGCTGAATAAATAATAGTTAATATCGGGTATTACTAGATATAAAATATCCAAAAGTCATCACCTGAGCCTATTTAATTTATTGATTTAGAGCCTATTTGTGACCAATCCCCTCCACCCTCTCTGCCACTGCACAGGGCTTATCCATATTGTGAGTCGGAGTGCAGGGAGAAAAGGGGCTACTCATGCAATATTCAAGGGCTCTGTTTTCTCCTCCTCTCCACACATATGCATCAGCTAGTGAAGTTGGCTGGGGAGCATTCAGCATCTGATGCAATATATGACCCCTCCCTTCCCACCATGCAAAGCTGGACCTCCTGAGGAATGTTGACTCTGAGCAGTGTCCCTGAGTAACAATTCCTTGTGGAGTTGCTCTGACACAGGCCTGAGAGTAAACACGCAGTCTAGTCAATAATAAAGAGTAGGTTAATATTTGTAAAGCACACTGTAAAGATCCGCATATGGAAGGCCCTCCCTTAGAGCCAAGTATAATTATTATTAATAAAAATAATAGAGACTTAGGCCCAAATTCCTAAAGGCATTTAGGCATTGCTGCGCTCAGCAGCACAATGCCGAACTGATTGAGGAGTCTCAATCTCCTTTTCAAATGGAATCTAGGCACTTAAGAGTCTAAAATCCTATCGACTGACCTCAAGTGATGAGCCCTCCAGGTCAGGAGCGGAGGCACACTGGTAGAACAATGTGGAGAAGCTTACATTGCCTGCTTTTGGATAAGTTTAGGACTCTCAGATAAACTCCTTTCGGTAGCAGTAACCTATTAGGTTTGGATACAGTGAGGGGGGCACTATTTCTTAATTTCTGAGGGTTTTTTAGCACGTTTTACGAAGCAAAATGAAAATCACATATATTTATACAATATTACGTCTTAAGTCAACGGAAGCCAGAGTTAAGACTGAAAGTTTATCCTTAACTCTCAAAAACTTGCTCTTGGGTTTTACAATCCTTGGTAAGATTATGCGCAGCTGCAGGATCATGGCAGTACCTAGAAGACATGAACTATGTCCCTAATTGCCCCACCACCTAAATATAAACCAAAAGTTGTAGTTTCTGCTTTTGTAGATTGCAGGCGGGGTAATTACATATGTCATCCTGTTCGTGTGTGTCTGTGGAGTGAAGAATGAAAACGTCACTCTCTCTACATGGAAATAAGTTTATGTACAGCATTTACATAGATTCCAAGACTAGGAGGGACCATTGTGATCATCTAGTCTGACCTCCTGCATAACACAGGCCAAAAGTTGAAATTTACTGCTGTTCAAAAGAAATACATTTCACATTGGAATTTTGTTTATTCATTTGTGACTGAGTTATAGTAAATTGTTAAGGTGGAACCCAAACTTGATATGTATTATTACTGATCGAAGTGTTCTTGACTGTACAGGATTTAGGGGTTATTTATCCTATTCTCTGGGCAGACTGTCTTTCTTTAAATTTTTGTGGACTTTTTTTTTTTATTTTCTCCTTTCTTCTAGCAACCGGTCCCACATCTCCCTTAGAATCTGTTATGGCATCTCAGCTTCAACGTGTGACAGAATCGCCACACAATGGGGAATCGGTAACGCACTCTCAGATAATCATTTCACGTCAACCTACAGTAAATATGGACAGGTGAGAATAGTCACAAGGATTATAAAAGTTTTAGAGGATGAGGGATGTTAAAATAACAGTTCATTTATTCCATTTATTTAATGAAGTAAATTAAAGCTAAACATTGTTCTTTTCTCCACTGTTTTTTGTTTTTTCTTGCCAATGCTCTGAAAAGGAAGTTTGAATATATTTCATTTAGAAGTGACCTATTTTTATCTGGTTGTAGTGATGAAATTTGTAAAACCATAGCACTCTTACTCTTCACATAATTATTTGAAAATAAATTTGCTGTTTGCCAGCAAATACTGTAGATGTTAACTCTCAAGGGGGAAGGACAATTTTTCTTTGTTCTTGTCCAAGAATTGAAATATTATTGGCTATGCACACCTGTTACACCAGCATTAGTTTTCCTGCATGCAGTATGGGGTGATTTGCTGCTTTGCTTTTAGGTTAGTGAGGTTGTCTTTGTACTCTTCAGAGTGTAAACAAATATTGATCACTTGACAAGTTACTTGATGCAAGTTAGAGAATTATCCTGTGTTGATTAAAAGCATCCATTCCCTGTAAAGGTAGTTTTGGAAGCCAGGCATTTGACTTTGCAGGTCCCTGTAGCCATGGGGCGAGTTGTGCACATTTTGAAAAATTCTGCTGAAATGCTTGAAAACATTTGTATTTAGTCAAGTAAAGGCTGGTGTCCTATGGGGTTGAGCTGTCAGTTTTTTTCAGTTTCAGTATTTGCTTCTCTCACATTGCATTGCAGAAAACCCAATTTCCACATTGTGAGTTCATGTTTTATGCAGCTAGAGCCAAAATATGAATGAAAAATCTGGCAAGCAGACTTTAATGGGCAGTATGCTCTGCGGTAAGATTGGCCCTAATTAAAGGAGGAAATCTCAATATCGCTACATGCCTGAGGGATTCTTCACCTCCTGTCGTACTGACAAGGATGCCCCTCCTGAGAGAAGCTCTTTTAGTGACACTGAACGTTGAACTGTGTTAGATGAACTGCATAAAGCCGTTTCATAATTGTGTAAGGCAGCTATTAAATTCTAATTATTTCTCGATCTTAAATGCACCTTGATGTTTGCAATATAATATGTGCCTCTCTAATCATTGCTGTCATGTAGCATCATATTTAGAGTAGAAAGAACCTCTGAGCAGACGAGGTAAGGAATGAATAAACATCACGCAGCTGCGACAACAAAACCAGAAAGAATATATTACTCTGTATAGAGAAAGACAGCAGCATAGCAGCTTGGGCTGAGTGACTCTGGACATTTACTAAATGTCTGCACTGCACAAGCAAGATTTGGTGTTTGCCGAAATGGTCTTGCACTTGGTTTGAAGGGGGTTGATATGATGGCCCAAATTCTCTTCTCTTGGCAAAACCTGAGCAAGTGGCTTTGCACTGGGGAGTTTCCTGAAGGGTTCCTAGGGGATGGAATCATTCTCTCAGCCCATGGAGCAACAATGAGGATGCTTCTCAGCTGCTAATATAGCTCTTGGCCTCCCCGGCTGCCTCCCCTTCCCAGCAAGAGGTTCAGAGTTTAACTGGTGGCTCATCTGCACAGTTGTGCATCCACTGACCACAACTCCCCTGGTTCATTCCCAATATACCCTTTCATGCTCTGCTTAGTGGTGCTTAAACCTCAAGTTCAGCACATCCTGTCTCTCCCCATTCAGTGCCTCCTGTATTAATTGTTCTGCCTTTTGGGTCAGTGCCCCAAGGAGGGACTCAGGAATGGGATTTGGCCTTTATAAATGGAATGGTTTTAAATATTAGTAGAGGTTTGGGTTCCTGGGTACTGAGCTGTGGAAGTTTTACAGTTTGCCATTAGAGCCCAGGTCAAGAATCATGGAGCATTTGTGGGGCAGAGTAGGTAGGAGGGATAAGTTGGTTGATCTTCCCTTCTGATCTGTGCCCTTCTCCACCCACTCGCAGGAGCACCCAACTTACTCAGGCTCTGTGCTGGGACCAAGACGCCAGTGAAATCCCTGCTTCCATGTTAATAGATACAAACTAATAGCAAATTAAAGGAATACTAGCAGAGGAAGGCAGTTGACTTCAATACTTTTTTTTTTTTTTTTGCCTCTTTTAATTAACTGCTGATCTTGTTATCCTGCTAGGACTTCATTATCTCTGGAAGATCGATAGTCTTTATAAGCCCTAAGAAAACTCTAAGGTGTGATGTGGCTTGATTATACTGTGTATTAATTAGTCAGTCAGTAATTATTACTTCCTAATAGATAATAGCTCTAATTTATACATTAATAAACACTGTAATAGTTTTGTTTTGTGGAAGGAGAGAGATAGTGGGACTCATGTAATCACATTTAGGGTCCAGCTTTTGAAAGTGGACTCAAGCTGATCTCTCCAATCACATCTAATAACTGCTACCTAGATATCTACACGCCCAAATGCTGCCTATGGACATTAAACTGAGTTCTGTTGCATCCAGCTTTTGAAAGCACTTTTAAGGGCCTGATTATGCCACCCTTACTCAGGTTGACTATCCCGTTAGGGCTTCACTGAGTAATAAGGTGATATTCAGCATAAAGGAACCTGGCCTCATATTTGACTTATCATTTGTATTGTTTGTGTAAAGAGCTTCAAAGTTACAAATCATTCACTCAAATAAATATAATGTTACTCTTTCTCATCTAGAAATGGTATGCTGGGCAGACTGCAGATTTTAAAATGGCATATGCAAGTGGAAATCTTCCACTTATGTCAGAAAGCATCCCAGAATTAAGAAGAAAAACTGTAGTTCATGCAGATGTTGAAGCACCATTAATGGCAGGTTAATTAAATCTTTAATCAGGGGTTTTTATCTACCTTTGATTCATTTTTTTAAATGAATCAGACTGCGTATTGTTGAACTGGGAAGATAGATTTAAAACTGTGGTTTGAAATATAATAGAAGGCAAAAAAAAAGTTTCAGACTCCTCATCAAAATGCAAGAAGGTTCCAAAATATATTCCCCGTCCCCAGGGTTTCCAAATTTGTGGCACCAAAACTTGCTGCTTTTTCCCCTTAATTCACTGAACTGTATCCATAAACGATATCATAACATCACAGAAATTGAACATATATAACTCCTGTGTGGTTACCTATTCCATCTCCCTGCCAGGGAAAGATTGTTGCCTACAATACATTTTCTAGTTCTTTACCCAAATTATGTCCTATCTGCCCCTTACTTTGGGAGAATATTTTACTGCCTGATGAATTATGCTGTTCAGCCGTTTCTTTTTTTTACTATCATATCAGTACTCCTGCTTCCACCGTCGTGTACCACCCTCGCAGGTCATTGCACTGGGCCAGTGCTTTGTTCTCACCATGTTAAGTCCAAGACAATCTCAAAAAAGGCACTACTAGGGACCAGTGACAGTAGGAAAGTACAGTCTTGTGAACCGCCTGAGCTGAAAAAGAATGCCGCTGGGTTTCCAGAACTTATACAGTATTCATTTCTCAGTCTGGCATGCTGTGGTATATCACCCTTTAAAACCCCTTAACTCTGATGACTGTCTTGCCTTCCCCACATCTCCACCTCTTCATTACTGACCTGGTATGAGAGCCTGCTATCTCAGGAAATGGTAGAGCTAGAGCTAATGCTTTATCCAAAAACCTGGAGTCCGGCATCCAAGAAAGCATTAATCTCTATTTCTGATGGCTCTGCAGAAATAATGTTAATAAATCAAGCTACAGTCATTATTTAAGGTCTAGTATCTCCTAAGATCCAAGTGCAGCCAGGTGTAGAAATATTTGGACAGATCACTACAAATGCTTTAAGGACCAGTAAACTTCTAGAGGCACTGATCCTAGATGAGTGATGATAATTAAATCCTAAGTAATTCCACTTCATTCATGTTTACTTCTTTCATTAACTTTAAAATATCTATCAGGTCCAACCATAAGACCTTAATTATCACTTAGCCAAGCAATATATATTTTATAGTAGCTCTTTTAATCTATCCTAAGTCAGACCTTCCATCACCCAATCAGCATTGTTGCTCTTCTCTGAACTTCCTCCAGTTTGTCTCCCTGGTACTGAAGTGTCCAGATCTAATGCAGTTTTGCTTTCTGAAGTGCTCCATCCATAATTGTGCCACTACGAATTTTTTTGCTTTTCACTTAAAATAATTGTGAAGAATTAAATACCTCCTGAGAGATTTAGTAAAGTAAAGGCCTAATGTAGATTTCCAGAGGCAGGGTGTTATTTTGCAGTGACACTGATAGTGTCACTGCAGTTTTTATCTGTTTGCTTTGCGTTCCTATCAATTTCTCTGTGCATATTTACAACAACAAAAAGAATGAGTTTTTTCAAGTGCTCTCCATGTTATCCTAACTCTGCTCCCATTCAAGTCATTCACAGTTAATGGGAGCAGAGTTAAGACCACAATTAAGCACAATACCTAACTCTTTTATAGTACTTTACAAATGAGGTCAGTATCATTATCCTGATTTTCCAGATGGGGAAACTGAGGCATGGCGAAAGAAAGTGACTTCCCCAAGGTCTTCCAGCCAGCCATTGGCAAAACCAGGAATAGAACCCAGGTTTGCTGTCCAGTGTTCTATCCAATAGGCTACACTCCATCTCATTTAAAAATCCCACCTACCATGCCAACAAAGTGAGGAATGGGGTGGTCTTCTCAGAGGATGGCTGGTTTGTGGCTGCGGCACTGGCCTGGCTCTCAAGACATCTGGGCTCAAATCCCTGATGTCCAGACTTCCTGTGTAATCCTAGTTAAATCACATAATCTCTCTGCCTCAGTTCCTCATGTATAGGATGGCGATGATGAGGATACTTCACTTTTTTATGGGGATGCTGTGATAAATTCATTGATGTTTGGGAGGTGCTGAACACCACAGAAAAACCAATAAATAAAAAATGAACCATGTGCCAAGTGGAAGTTCATAAAAAGACTCTCAGACCTATAATCAACAGAAAACTTGGGCTGTAGTACTGAACCAACTGCTCAGACATGGCCTGAGACAATTGATAAGCCCTATTAGACCTGGATGGGGTAAAAGAAATTCCAGAGATGTCCGACCGTGACATACAAAACTGGGCACTCTCAGCTGAGGTATTCCCGCTGATCTCAACAGCTGTGGTATGGTCCAAATAGAGAGGAGGTGCCTTAGGATGCCAGGACCTAAATTATTAAGGGTTTTATTATTAAGCTATACATCACTGTAAGTTTATATGATGTTTTATGGATAAATAAAGATTAATGCCTGTGCCCCAAGGAGCTTAAAATTTAAGCCCCAGTGCTGCCATTTGCCCAATGAATAACATCATAATCCTCCTACATGGAGTGAGGGACCACTCAGTGCAAATGAGGGCGGCAGACTCAGATGTTAAAACAAAACATAATGCAGGATGGTGACAGACACTGGGGTGTGTTAAGCAGGAGAGAAGTTACAGAAACAAGATAAAATGGAGGCTTAGGGGAATGTTTCATCATGGTTCATCAGGGATTTTTGTTATTTTTAATACATTTACTTAGAGGGCAATATTAGGGTTGATTAGCCTCATAGAAGAGGCATATTTTACAGGGGGACTTGGAGAAGGAGAGGGCAGACACAGTCAAGAAGGGGGTTCCAGACATATGGGGAAGCAAGAAAGAAGGCCCAGATCTGAGTGAAAGACACTGAGGATGTTGGTATTGGCTTGGGCAGAGTGAATGGGGAGAAGGGCAGAGGGGTTGGATGGGGCAAAGATGGGCAGGGCCTGGAAGGTAAGGAGTAGGATCTTGAAGATGATGATGAATCTGAAGGAGGACTGGATCAAAGCAGCAGACACAATAAATGAGAGTCACATCTGGATGAACTGGGAGCAGATGTCGGGTAGATCAGAAAGAGAAGATTGCAGTAGGACAAGAGCAAAGCCTGCAAAATTAGGGAATGACAAGACATACTCAGATTCTGCAGATCTTGCAAAGGAAAGTACTTGACATTATGAAGAGGAAAGGCTCTTGCAGTCTTAGAGAATGCCAGTCTCAAGATATTTGAGAAGTAAAGAGCAGAGAAAGGTAACAGATAAATACCTTAGAAGTACTAAAAGTTGGTAAATAAATAGGGTTGTACTACCATTTTTTCTCTTCAGTTTCTTTTTTGTGTGGGTCACTTGCTGTAGCCATGATATGTCCATTGATACGATGATGCAGCAGATTATGGCATACTTATGAGTAATACAAGGGTATAACATCACCGGGCTTAATGGGTACAAGGCCTATTCTGAAATAGGACACTTACTGAACAAAATTAGAATGCAGATTATCACTAGATATGGTTTATGCAACCTGATGTCTAGCTCTGCAATTAATGTTTAGTATAGTATACAATAAATCACTGTAGATGAATGCAGACTTCTCTTTTACTTATAATGTTGCTTTTACTTAATGCATTTCTTTCCAAGTGATTATTTTGGTTCTGACAGATCAACAGGAACATGTACACGTAAGTGTCATCCATCTTCAAGTGGTGGGTATGGCAGACAGTGGAGAGTCATTTTCTAAATTTGGATCTGGCCCTAAGAATTTTCCTAAACAAAATTCTTAGTTCTTAGGGAGAAAAGAAATGTGGATTTCTAATAAGGGTGAAGGCAAATGCTGAGCTCACTTGTTCACTGCTACCCCAAATACTGTACACACTGAATAATACCAAAGTCTATGAAAACAAACTGTCATTAATATGTCTGGATTGCTTAGTTTCAGCTCTTGACCAGCTGTGTCCCGGTACGCTGATAACGTACATTATTTGTAAGATATTTACTGATATTTTTTGCTTCCAGTAATCTCAACCCTGGAAGGGAACCCAATGAAAATGGAGTGTCTATGCAGAATGACAACTTTGAAGAGCTCATACACTTACCCATTGGATCTAAACCATCCACACTGGATGCCTTGAACAATGATGGAAGCAATAGCCCTGAAATTCCTTTGAATCCAATTTTAGCCTTTGAAGATAAGGGGACTCTGGGGCCATTGCCTCAGGTAGATAGTGTTCAAACGCATCAAACAGCAGGTAGGTTTGCTTTGGACCATTAGAATCTGGAACATTTTGTAAACGAGAGAGACCATAGAGTCCCTAATTGATGTATATAACCAGATGGTTAATTTAAGCAGTTTAGATTGTAAGATATTTGGGGCAGAGAGCATGTCTTACTATGTGTTTGCAAAGCCATGTATACTTGCATAGTGCTATGTTGAACCATTATTCTTAACCTAACATCAGGGGAAATAAGGGGTTCCTAGTAAATCTTTGCTTCGTGCGTATAGGGGTGTGAATAACAGATATTTCGGTTCACTGGCAATTCTGGAAAAAAAAATGGTTTCAGGTTGTCATGGATCCACAGGTCCATTGCTCTTGAATAGCTCTGGAACTGTCCCTGGGAGGACCCTTCATTGTGTCAGCCCCCTTAGGGTCACACACTCACTAGGGTAAGCCACTTGCATTCACTGCCTCCTGGGACCGAGCCTCGGTGCTGTCCGCACCCCTGCTTCACACTGTAAGCTCCCTCCAGTGAGTCCACCTGAGTTGGACACCTGAGAGAGAAACTTGTACACCCAAAGGGAGCAATGCACCCCCAACTCCCTTAAATGGGAGTGACTCTTTAGTCAGCATTGTAAAAGCAGAAGGGTTTATTAGAGCTCTGGAACACCAAGTAGGAAGTCTTTAGTTAACATAGAGAACAGAAAGTTACAGCCTGGTCCATCTGGGACAGTCCGGAGCCTTCTGACCCCTTCTTTGTCCCAGTCCAGAAGCTTCTCCTGTTTTCAGCAGCACACACTTAACAACCCCACCTGGCCCCTCGTCACTTCTTTGTCCTTGTTCCTGGGCAAATATTGTCACCTTGCCCCCCTTCTTAGCCCTTTGTTCTCCAGCTGGTCACACCCAGCTGGCTTCCTGCAGAGGGTGGGCCATCCATGGTCGTTAGTTGCTAGGTGCCAAACGTCTGGGTAATTGGAGTGGCTGTTGTCTTCTCAGACTGTCCGTGGGCATGAGGGCCCAGATCCCAGACAGCCAGGTCAGTCACACCTGGATCTCTGCAAAGAGTAAACAACCTTTCCCCACCCCCTCACTTAGTTAAACATGCACCACACAAGGGAAACTGAGGCACACACCATATTCATACAAAATATGATATATTCTCATTCCGTCACACAGGTTCAACAAAACGTTTTGTTTTAACAAAATTGAAATGTTTTGTTCCAACAAATCAAAATGTTACATTTTGATATTGACCATTTTAAAATGGTTTGGATTATATTTTAATAAAAGTAAAGGAAATTTAGAAACAAAAAGTTGTTTTGACCAAAACAAATCAAAACATTTCAATTTGTTCAGATTTTTGCTCTTTTTAACTGAAACAATTCAGCGTAACACACAAATTCACAAAAATATTTGTGTTGCCGAAGGCTAAAATCTGCATGTTTTTGCCGTGAAACGTTTCAAATGAAAAATTTCACCCAGTTCCGCTCATAAGGATGTTTTATAAATGTTTGCACAATGCGCTTCGGAACCGGAGAGCCTTGCTGTGCCATAATTAGTTGCCACTGTCTTAGCAGCTTCTGAACCAGCAATATGTTCCAGCTATCCAAATGGAAAGTTGTACCCCTCTTGTGGGGTTCTCTCTGTGGCATGGGGAAATGGTTACTGCCTTACATATGAGAGTACTGAATACAGTTCCCTAATAGAGCCTCCTGGTCATCGCGTTAGCTCTGACGTTGATACTGAAGGCTTGGCTGCAGCAGCTGTCGCTGTAGATCTCTGTACAGAAGCAGACTAGAATTTTGTATATGTTGGGTATGAACTGAATAATCATCACAAGCTAAATCAGCTGCCTGCGTTATTTCCTCCTTCCATGTATAGAAAATTTGAGCAGAAGGATCAGCCAATGAAAGTGCTATTTAAATCCGCTTTTTAGACAAAAATTATTTCCATCTGCTAATCTGTCCTTTTTACTGCCTTTCATTATAGAAGTTATCTGACCGTCTCTTCTGAAGAGCCAAAGATGAAGTAAGCATCTCCGCTGCCTATGGAGTTCCTTCCATACTATGAAGGAGTGTTTTATTTTCTCTCTCCAGTTTTCTACAAAATTTGTGGGTATCTTTTTTGAAAAGACCTTAGTAAAACCAGCAGAAGAAGTGATGGAGAATAGACATGGATTATCTTTCTAATAGTTTTCACCACTAGAAAATCATGCTTCATGTGCATTAGTTAAAATCGCTTTTTTCTGACAAGCTCCTTTTCGCAAATCAATATTTTCTGCATTCTTCAAGGCAAAAGGCACTGGACTCCTACAGTAATGAGCTGATTGGGGTAAAGGGCCTCATTTTTTTTTTTTGAAGATGGGTGGTTGCTTTTAAAATTGGCGACTAATCTTCTACGTTTTATGGATCTAATACTTGAAAAATAAACATCTCCTTGCTCTACAAGTAGGGCTAATGGGAGGTTTCATTTAAACCTGTTGGTTTAAATATTATTGCAGAGAACTCTAATTATGGGGGCAAAATATAGGCTTCTGTATCAGGTTCTTGTAAATGTAACTTCTACATGGACATTCTGTAAATTCAAATGTCACTACGATCTTCTTGCATTTTCTTTAAAAACACAAAGCGGAACAGGGTTTAAAATGTGAAAATTTGAAAGCGCTATTTTTTCATGGACAAGACGAAAACCTGTCGTTCTCCTAGATAATGTATTTATGAATTTTGTTCAGTACAAAAATAAATCATTTAATGGAATAAATTAGAAAAATGTGGTAAAACAATATTGCAAACTTGATTTTGTTCGTTGAATTCATGTCCATGGTACGATAAAAGGTACACATGCAGACACACAGAAAAATCCCCCCCCCCCTTTTTTTTTTTTTTTTTAGTCCTGTAAATTGCTGCTGTTCCCAGTAATGGAGGGATCTTTCTTTGTCTTATCAGATTGTGACACTCTGTGAACTTAAATATTGATTTGGGGGTAAGAAAGGGAGGGGTGTTTTGGGGGGCTCATTTCAGAACAAATGGAAAATGATGCATGTTTGTACTTTTTATTTGTTTAATGTTCATTTTTTAAAATGCAGTACACTTTATTACCAGATAATGACTTGAATGTTATCATTCCTCTTTAGTCCACTGACATCCATTTTTCACTTTCAGCATTCCACACTTGTCACTTTTTTGCTGCTACCAAGCTTGACTGAAAAATCTTGTACTTTTTGCTTTTATAAACAGTGCTCTTAATGACAGAAATTACTACTTAAGTGCTGTGTGTGAGAGATGTTACCGGGGCACTGATTGAAATCAATGGGACAGATCTTCCCATTGGGCAAATTGAGGTCCAGGGAGCTATAACATTTTACACCTGCTGGAGATCTGCCCCAATGAGGTTCCTTTGATTAACTCCTTTGGGTACTGCATCAGGCCCATAATGAGCAACACTGCAGCAAGTTTGTTATCAAAGGGAAGCTCAGTTTAAGGTAAGACCTGAAAGAATTCTATGAAGAGTGTTTTGAAGCGTTGACTTTCCACAGCTACAGGGTGCGTGTCTTCTCAAAAAGGAGATTGGATAAATCTACTGGTAATTCATAAAATGATACTTCATCTCCCCGATTATATGGGCGGGAAAGCCATTCAGTCAGAATGTTTTAGAAATAGTTCGTGATTTAGTGAAATGAACTGGGTTTGTTTTCAGCTTTCTTTACAGTTCTCCATGTACATAACCATTATATTTTAAAATATGTCCAAAATATGTAGGTGTTACTTCTTTTAATCTATATAGTATCTAAGACCAAATAAAATTTGTTTGGAATATTTGTACTTTTATATTTTGGTTATCTTGTTACATTAGTTTTATCTAGGGAGCAGTTTACGCTTGAAAATTGTTCTAGTTACTCTTCACTTATTTGTGACTGTTTGGTTTTCTCTCATCTGTTTATTAGGCAAGTAGCACAGGATCATTTATAAGTAGGGATGGACCAAGGAGTTGCTATTTGGATCTAGATTCAAATTATGTTTAAAACAGGGATTGGATTAGGATTCAAGTTTGATGGCCTTGAGATCACATGAATGGTACTCATGAGATTTCAGACCAAAAACTCTGATACAGCATTGAAATCAATAAGATTTAAGAACATGCTTAAAGTTAAGCCGTTCTTAAGTACTTTGCCAAACTGGAACTATAATGAAAAGAGTTCTCACGAAATGTATTCGATGTCTAAACCAGAACTAGAAAAAAAGACCTTTTTGCTGTAGGGTCTGACCTGGAACCAAAACTATAAGGGTAGATTCAGATCTGGGCATTTGGATCAGAATAACTGACAAAAAAAATTCATCGGTTTGAGATTTGAAGTCCTGGTTTTGACCCACCTTCATCTGAAGACAGAAGATTTTAAATGGAGGAAAAAATCAGTCTTCTTTAAAATATTGTTTTTTGTTACTAGACCATAGTATCAAATGTAGGTGGGCATGGGATATAATGGTGTCAGCTTTGTAGACTGTTACTGTAACATTTTTAACCATCTGCACAGTCAGGGGCTGTTTGACTATTCCAGGATGGTAGAATTAGGAGTTGTAAAAGTCTTACTTACATTAAAATAATAACAAGCATTATGAAGTGGAGAGTCATAAATTTTCATATTGTTGGGAACTGAAAATATTCACCTCATCGCCTCAGTCAGTAGTTCATAGTGCCACAATCAAGTGCTCTGTAGCAAATTTGTCCATGACATTAAGCACTGCATCACAAATACAGATTTAGTCATCAAGTTTCAGTTTCTTACATTCTTTTCTCTTCACTTTTTTATCTCATTCCTAACAGGAAATGCCCTATTTTACTTCTTGCCAAAGTCTTAAACAATGTTTCCAGTTCGGTAAAATTCCCAATAAAATAGAAAAATACTGGTTTAGGCTTCCAAGTAAGGCTGTGGAATCTCTCATCAGAGGGTTTTTAAGAACAGGTTAGACAAACATCTGTCAGGGATGGTCTTGATATACTTGGTCCTGCCTCAGCATGGGAGACTGGACTAGATGCCCTCTCGAGGTTGCTTCCAGCCCTACATTTCTGTGATTTTATGAAAAACAGATAAAAGAACAGATTCTCATTTTATCACAAGTTTGCAAAGTGAACTGTATTTAGGCTTGGAAGGATTAGATTTTTATTGGTAATTGTTAGTAAATGTCGATTTCACCGTATGCAGTGTTGTTGTAGTCGTGTTGCTCCCGGGATATTCGAAAGACAAGGTTGGGGAAGGAATATCTTTTATTGGACCAGCTTCTGCTGGTGAGAGAGACCAACTTTCCAGCTTACACCGAGCTCTTCTTCAGGTCTGGGAAATGTACTTAGAGTGTCACAGCTAAATACAGGGTGGAACAAATTTTTTAGCATAAATAGTTAACATACATTTCAAGGAACCATTCAAGGTGAAATGGCCCATTAACACTCCTCTAGTAATAGGGAGGAAAGGAAGGGGAGGGCTGTTAGTGAGTTATAGATTGGATTTATGGCTTATTACAACAGTGTCTCTATTCAGTCCATGATTTTTAGTATCTAGCAAAGTTATGAATTTAAGCTCCCAGGCTGGTCTTTTGAAAAAGTGTTGTGCAGTTTTCCTTTGAGGAGGAGGAGGACTGATTGGTCAGATATCGAGGGATTGCTTTGTGGAGAAAATGTTGCCGCACAGGAGGTAGGGTGTTTTTGTCTTTTATCATTTTCCTGCGTGAGTTCATTCGAGAGCATCGTGATTGTCTGGTTTCACCCACATAGTTGTTGTTGAGGCGTTTAATGCACTGCATGAGGTACACCACGTGTTGTGATAGGCATGTCTTTGGACCCATGGATCTTGAAAGGTGTGTTGCGGGGAATGTTAATCATTGTGGCAGTGGAGATACGTCTGCAGGTTTTGCATCTGTTGTTCTGGCTGGGTCTGGTGCTGCGTTGAGTTGGTGTGTCTTGGTCTGTGGGGAGTTTGCTTCTGATGATGTGTTTGGAGAGGTTGGGGATTGTATGAAGGCCAGAAGATGGAGTTTGAAGATACCCTCTATGGATTCCTGTGTGCTAAGCAACAACTAGGGGTGTGCTGTCAGAGGAGGGTTTATTTCTGTATTGAAGTAGGTTCTCTTGGTGTATTGGGGTGGCCCATTCCATGATGCGATCTACTTCTCTGGTGGAGTGTTCCTGTTTGGTGAAGGAGGTGTTAAGGTGTATATCCCGGACTTTCTCCTCAGAGCACATTCTGTGATATCTGAGTGCCTGGCTGTAGAAAACAGATTTTTTGGTATTTTTGGGGTGGTTACTGGATCTGTGAGGGCAGATATAGTGATGCATGGGTTTCTTGTATACAGCTGTATGGAGGGTTTCATCATTGAAGCTGATTGTGGTGTCCAAGAAGTTGATGCTAGTGTAGGAGCGTTCCAGAGAGAGTTTAATGGACGGGTGGTGGTTGTTGAAGGTGTGGTGAGGAGTGGAGTTTGGAATACTAAAGTTGTAGTAATAGTCACAGGGAAGAAGTCATATGATGGGTGGGGCAACTCATCCCAGTATTGGTGCTAGGGTCATCAGAGAGACTGAAGGGAGGTAGCTTGTACTTCCCCTACTTAGGGGGGCTTCTGGATCTGCTTCAGCTCCTGGTACAAGTTTGGCCAGCACTCTGAGGTGCTTTAAGCCATACCTCCACTGCCATATACTCCGTGAGCTGTGTGGCAGTGGAGAATCGCTAGGGAACAGGGACTGCACCAGGCACACCTACTCCCACCCCAGGTCCCTGCAGAACACCCCCAATGCATCACCTGTGCCAGGTGCTCCTGCAAAGCTGGGTCTACACCTGTCAGGAAGGGCTTTCCACCAGTGGTATTCACCACAGGGACTCATGCTTAGCAATGCTTCATTTGCACCAGTTTTGCTAGCTAAAGGAACAATAATGATTGAATTTGGTCCAAGCCACTTTCTAAAGTTAAGAGCAAGTCACCAGCCATGGCAATGATTTGTTCACACTTTAGCTAGTACTAACCATAAAAAAGATGAATAACTTTGTTGCTTCCTCTTACACAAACAAATAGGGTTGCATGAAAAATCCCCTTTTCTGTAGGAAGCCATGGTTCAAGTATATTCTTCTTCAAGCTATACATCTTCCAGGAGTCTCAACACAGAGTCAGCGTTCTCAGCAAGATTTTCAACCTGAGTTGTCATGCATGGGAATTCATTTAAGAGCAATGGCAGCTCATGTGATGCTTCCCAGAGGTACCCAGAGCTGTATCGCTCCTCTCTACCACTTGCCTGTAGCATGAGGAAGCCTTGTCTGTACCTGCGAGGGGTCAGTTACCCAACTCCACCAGCCACTGGCAACACAAGCCCTCCCCTCTTAACCTATGCAGACTCTGGTGTCTCTCTGCAGGTTAGTGATAGGCACACCCAAGCATCCCGCTGGAGTATCCCACCCCTTTTCCACTGGACACTCACAGAATTCACAGATCCACTGTTCCCAAAGGAATAGTACACCCCAGCGTACCGGTTTTGTCTTTGGATCACCGTTCTCCTTAAAACATAGCACTTAGATATGTTTATAATGAAAACAAGTGTATTTATTTAACAAAGCATAGAGATTCTTTACAAGATTGCACTTGTACGTACACACACACACAGATAGATAAATATAAAAAGTGTGTGTGTGTGTATGTATGTATATGTATGTATGTGTGTGTATACATATATACACACACACACATATACACACATGTATATAAAAATCCCAAATGAAGGAGAAACTTTCCAGCATTCATGGTAAGAAACTTTGCTGAACACATGTGGGAGCAGATGTTCAGCAGAACAGTGGCACAGAACTCTTACATCCCTCCATCCAGTATAGTTATTCCCACAGCTTAAACAGTTAAAAAGCTCTGGTACCATTTAGGCTTTTTTAAATCTCTGGGTATGCATACCTGCTGAGAGGTGGTCCAAACAGGTGCTGGGATATACTACAGTCTTTCTAAAGATTGCATCTGATGACATTTGTTGTGAAATTTATAATTGCAGCCTCAAAGCCTAGAGGAAGAGGGTGTTTTCTCCAAAATTCTACTTCAACTAAGAACGTTCAAAATGTTGGAGTGACAATTTTGGAATTGTGGTTTTGTTACCCAAAGCATGCCATGGAAAATTGACTTGTGCATGTTCTCTGATTGTAAAATGAAAGTTGCATAATCCAACTGAACCATCCTTAACAAAATAGCATGAAGCCTGGCCATTCTATTGTACTAATTCTCCAGTATAATGCCATAAAAATTAGCAGTGATTCAGTTGAACACTCACCATTAAATGTAACGTTGATTATAAACCTGATACCAACTCTCTGTATATTTCAGTTTGTCTAGTAAATGCTCGGCTGATTTACAGTCACTAATTTTATGACATGCTTAAGCATGGACATATTTGTAAAACTCCAGACTTTACTTAACCACTCAGGTACAAATTTTGCCTTCAGGTAATCAAATGCAACCCACAAAGACTTATGTGGGATTTATATACAGTTACATGAAGGCAAAATTTAGCCTTAAATCATAGCAGTTAACTAACACAAGACAACTTGAATTCTGTCATCAATCTCCAATGGTTTTTATAAGCACTCCATGCCCCATTCTTAAAAAAAATTAACAACACTCACACACAAATACAGCAATGCTTTTGGTGCCTTAAATAGACTAGCTTGTGCATGTTACATTTTCCTGAAAAAGCACTATTTAGACATGCTACAAGGTGGCGGTTTTGTTTATTTGTTTTGGGGGGGTTTTTAGGAAGGGGAGACAATATGTCCATGTTAACTGTTATATTTCAAACACAATTCATACAATGGGCATGATTGTTATTTACCCTATGGCCCCTTACCCTGACATTGTAGTATGAAAGTGTGGTAGTTTGGATGACACCCAACCCCAGTGAGTTCATTACTCTATTTATTACTAATTACTATCATTTTCTTCCTCTGAGTTCACTGTTCTTCACTAGTGAACATGTTGCCCTTTACATCTTTCATATTCTAATTCCAGTGCTCTTTCTCTTTAGTTAGGTAGCTCAAGGCACTTTAGTGATATGGGTACTATGAAATAATGAATACAGACACTGAATAGTAATAGAATATTGTTAATATCAAAGAGCATAGCATAGTTTGCATATAAAATATGTGTTTGGAGGAATGTGTGTTTAATAAAACCTGGTTTTTACATAAATAAAACCTCACACACACAGTGCTTACTGTGTGTTCAAAAAGATACATGCAAAGTTTAGCTAGTATTGGGTATTTTATCAGCCATGTACATGGTAGGAATGTAGGTGTAGCCATTAAACATTTTGATAGAGTAAGTTGACATGTTTTTTTCAAACCTTTTTCTAGACCGTACTGATTTCCATTATCAAAACATTAAGGCCATATAAAGTACATGATTCCACCGGGTCATTATGTGTTAGGTGGAACTGCAAGTGGTAGAAAATACTGGCTATGAGAAGTAATAACAAAAAAAAAAAAAGGTTACCCTTTCTGAGGGATCAGGCTGCAGGCTGGGATAGCATTTCATGAGGTGAGTAAATAAAATGTTAACTGCCTTTGCGGCTGATAACCATCTTAAGGAGCTCCTGAGTTTCTTCTGTCTGTTGACGGATTTGCTCAAGATGCTCTATCAATTGACTCTGGCTGAATGCAGATGAAAATTCTGGATCTGAGAACAGAGGAAAACCAGGGTATGATTGTGCAGCCCACATAACTGAAGTGGTCTATCCACACACACATTCTTCCCTTAAAATTTCTTTAGAAATTAGATTTTTTTGTTTTGTTTGCACACTGGATAGAAAGGTACGCAGTTGAGTTATTATTCATGATACAAATGCACTATAGTTTCCCGTAAAATCCATCCTATGTAAACAATATCTCCTTACCACACAAGGAAGAATGATGACTCTATCTTTAGCCATCTGAGCACTGGGCCTTCTGCATCAGTGGAAAGTAGCACACAAACCTTCCCACAAAGGTGAGGAGCTGAGTCCAGTGTTGAATACAGCCTCCCACATAACAGCAAAGAAGGAAACAACTAGGCTGCTGAACTGGCTGACAGTTCCTATTGTTTTGTTTTTTACTATTTTGGAAGCAATTCTTTCAACTTCTTTCTACTTCCCCATCCCCTCAAAATACTATAAAAATGTTAAGGGGCTCAGTCAAAACTAGTAGCCCTAATTTATGAGATCTACTAGTTTTAGTTTGGTTTGGTAGGCATTCCTGATCAGACATTTGAAAACAGAACAGTGGTATCTTTCAGCAGTCTACATGCCAAGTAGTTTGAATTTTCTGCATATAGCAATCCTCGTTTCGCATAATTGGGTAGATGTGGAGAAAGGCTTGTTGCTAAGCCAAGTAATATTTTAGGCCCATCAGCCTGGAAAAATGTCCATAAATAAAAAAGCAAAATGGTGGTAAAGACAGACCATTATTCATTCTCTCAGCTCTTGTGCTAAGGCTAATAATTTACTGCGAATGAGTGAAAATGTAATGAACAAGCACTAACCAGGAGGTTATTGGGTGTGTTCTTTGTCCATTTTGACATTTTTCTAAGACAAAGAGCAAGTCCTGTTCCATCTGGGCAAATATCCATACACAGAGTTTCTATTTCCCATTGACTGGCTATACTGTCCCAATAAAGCCTATTCCATTTTCAAAAAGTAAAATGGCACCAGTTTGCCTTTATTTTAGAGAAATCATTTTGGTAAGTGTGTCTTAAAAGAGCCAAGGTAATTGCTACCCATGAGGCTACTCTCTCTCTCTCTGATTCAGTGAATAGAGCTAATCCCCAGTAGGCAGTAGCACTGTCAGTTACACTTACTGTAAGCAATGCTTTTTTACCAGGCAGTGACTGTATTACTTTGATATGAGTGGACTGGGCAGAATTCAATTTTTATTTCTTGGCTATTTTGACAGGTAATATCAATTTTTTTAAATGATTGATTTATAGTTTGTTGTGCAAAATTCTGGGGTTTAGACATTTTATTTTTATTGATTTCAATGCTTACGGTTGCAGGAAATGATGGGGGAGGGTCAGATAGTTATTATTTAATGACAGTCACCGTTGAGATTCAAAACGTTAAAACTTTATAATAGTTAAAACACAAATTGTCAATATCACATGTCAAAATATACAAAGTAAATTTCCTTAAATCAAACTCCAATAATTTCTCAAACAGCATTTATCTTTCTTTGCTTATCTGTAAATTATGATTATTATCTCTGCTAATAATTTTTTCATTGGTTTGTGTGTGCACAGCAAAATCAACATTTACTGATAAAAATCTAATCCAAGCCTGGATATGAGCAGTTAGGATTGAGCTGTGCCTTGCAGTCTAGGTACTGGTAATGAGCACTGTTGAATCAAGGGACATACCTTCCAGTAGTTTGCCCAGTGTAGAAATTCCCAGCTGCTGAAAGCGAATCTCTTGGTGGTTGAGAAAATTCATGAGGTAGTGTTGGACTTCCTCCATGTGGCATTTCAGCAGAGACCTCACTTTATCTACATCAATGGGGGTAAGGTGAGAGAGGCAGAAACAACTTAAAGTGAACACTTATTTGTTATAGGTTTCATAAGGCAACATTTTTAATCAAATGAGGAATTTGATACTATTTCAAAATGTGTGTTGACTCAGCTATCTCCTCTCCCCTTCCCAACTACACATTGTGTTCCAATTTAAATGGATAATAAAATAAATGTTATAAACCCATTAGTGTCAATAATATTGCAGTTAAAATTGTATGCAAGGTTTCTACTGACCCGGCTACTGCCCTAGGAGCCTGATATACGGTACTTGCAGAGTGTACTTCTCAAACTATTGATCAGCCTTTCACACTCTCACCTAGTCTGTAAATATTTCAAAAGCTCCGTGCATGGTTAGTGCTTGCAGGCAGCATTTGTTTCTCTGGATAAGATTCTTCTTTAGTGTAAGATGTTTGATGTGGGGATTGAAGTAGGTTTGAATTTTTTCCCTTGCTAGAAACTTTCATTCCAGACTCTAATATCTGTCAGGTCAGAGTGGGAGAGAATTTGGAATTTAACTACCCCTTTCATTGGAGAGAGGTGTCGAATAAGATTGAATATTTTTGCTCCATTTCTGTTGTTTATATAATATATATAAATCCTATTTTGGAAGTTGAAAAGATCTAAATTTTATGGAGCAAGTACATTGGACACACAGGTATCTATTCTCTGCAGATAATGCATTGCTCTTTTCATTATCCGTCACCGTAATTCAGAGATCACTGGCTAAATTCTCAGAGGTCTGCTTTCTTGAGTGTTCCGGTTAAGTTTTATTCCAGAACTAAGGTAATTTTGTTGGCTCAAGAAGGCTCTGTTGGTCAGTGGACGGAGTTAAGTTAAACTTCTTGAGCCAAATCCTTTCTGACGCAACTACTTTGTAATAAAGTATCCAGTCTCTGCTGCCTATTCTCAGCCATATTATATGGATTAAAGTATTTGGTAGGTGGGCACGGAGAAAGAAGACTGATGATATTTCCTGTCTGGAATATGTTCAAAATTATTTCCTTCCCCCCCGCCCAAAGGTGAGAAATGCCATACACCATCCCATCCTCTTGCCCATCTTGCTTCAGAATAATCACTGCAGAATGTGCAAGACCAACTAGCAGCTGGTTGTAGTGGTTAGAGCAGGAGACTAAGCACCAGAGCCTCTGCTAGTGTAAATTGGTCTGGTTCCATGGAATCAGTACCTGGAATTCTATTACTGCCTCTGCCATGAATTTACTATTTGACCACAGCTAAATCAATCTCTCAGAGCCCAAGTTTCTCCTTCTATAAAATGGGGGCAGTAATGCTTACCTAGCTCACCAAGGTATTTTGAGGCTCAACAGTATCTGTGAAGCGTTTTGACATCAAATGAAGTGTGCTATGAAAATGTTAATGATTATTTAGTGACTGAAGGCCAAACCCTTTTGAAAAGACAGTCGACATTTCACTTTACACAATATAAATGTGTCAGAAATGTAATTAAACTCTATGCATAACATTTACCGTGACATATCATGTGTCGGACAACGGAGGCAGCTTGAAATGATGGCTCTGTATGTTCCCGTTGCCCAGCCAATCTCACTAGGCGCTTTATCAGGGGTCCATTCATCCATTCTAGCAAGTGTAATGTGGCACCTTCTGGGAGACAGGAAGCAACAAAAAGGCTACATAAAGACATGCAAGTAAGCTGTAAAAAAACAACAACAACAACAAAAAAAAACCCCAGGGCTTTAGAAATGCATCATCCAGAAGGCCAAAAGCCAGACTGTCTAAACAGGACAGCCCAACGCCCTTTGCACAGCTGGAGGACCAGAATGAATGCATGCAGTACTTTTGAAAAGCATCTTCTGGGACCTAGTACCCACATCCTCAGGCTGTGAATTCAGTGAAAATTTGGCCTATAGAAAGGCTGATAATTTTCATAATGTGATTCATCTGTTCAGCACACATACTGTTTTATGTGAAACAAAGCCATTTGGCATGGTTGTCTCAACCTGCCCAGTCACCACTGGATAAGTGTCCACCTCACAAAACTAACTGCCACCAATCACCAGCCTTGCTGGTAGTCACAGCTGGGAGGCAAAAACACTGAATGGTCATGAGACTGAAATACCCTCCCAACCCAAAGGTGCTCATTCCGGGTCATGGTTGTGGCCTTTGGAGGGCAGTGTGGGAAAGCATGTACTGCTCCTCTCGCACCCACCGCTGCCCTCCTGAGGGTAAAGGGAGGGTTTTCATCTCCAGGACTGTCCGTCTGGAACCTCTAACCAATACAAAATCCACATGCAAAAATTAAAAAAGCAAAAGCAAAGTCGCTTTGCTTTTTAGCTGTTTCTGCTTTCTAAATTGGTCTTTGGTGCTATAAAATTAATTATCTGAAATAAATGGAAATATACATCAGGGTCACAACCAGTGGAATCAGTGTCATTACAATTAAACAGATAAGCCAGCTACACGAGCAATATTAGACAAAATGAATTTTGATCAGAGCAGTTTTTAAAAGCTGAAACAGTTCAAAAGAGAAGAATTCAAACAGTAGGGCCTATTTCTCCCACAAGTGGGATCAGTATACACTCACTGAAGTTAATAGCAAAACTATCCCATTGACTTTATTGGGAGCAAAAATGGCTCCCTCTGTGTGTGTGCACTCGCACATCTCTGTTTAGCAACGAGAGATGTGTGCACCCTGTGAGATCACGCTGCTTGCTATGGGATTGCTCCCTTACCATGCTTTGCCAGCTCAGCAAGAGAACATGTCACGTAATTAAGAGATTCTTCTTGAATTTCGGTAGACAGGATAGCCTGGAGGAGTCCTTCCACACATGGACTTTCAATGATTCTCTATGAGGAGAAAGAGATGATATTTAGCTCTTTTATAGTGCTTTGTAACTTCCAAGGACTTCACAAACATGAACTAATTCACAGAATGCTGAGGACAAAATGGGTCAATACTAACAATTGCTACCTGCTTACCCATAATAGACAAGATGCATTGTGCTGGTGGGAGAGAGGTCAAGCTTGACGCTCCTCTTGGATCTTCTGGGACCATGCTGATTTCAACAGAGCTGTCACACAACCTCTGTCTATGGGATGGTCACAGGACCTCAGATCACTTATAAAGCCAAAAAAACTTCATGTTGTGAGTCATTGTGTCAGGATGTGTTTTATTGCAAGGTCATTATGTGCTGATGTTTTGAGTGGACCAAAAAGTCACCACTGGATAAGTGTCCACCTCAATTCAATATATTGAATCACCATATGCCATGCAACACAGAAGCTTATTATTTTTCTTGTAATTACCTCCACATTTTTGACAACTTTCTGGCATTCAAATGCTCAGATCTATACAAGATATTTTAGGTGTGGTCTTACCAGAGCCAAGCAGCAAGGGAATGTTACTTCTCTGGAGTGTGACATGATGGTTCTCCATATGTAGCCAAACCTTGCAATGTCATATCGCATTGTGAATTGCTTAAACATATTTTTATGCATCTATTTCCTTTAAGGTGCAGTGTGGGAAAAATAGCTTTTAAAAAAATTAACACATTTATCTAGCGAGCCATAACTACCTCCAGGGTGTCATGGCCCTTGGGGCTTAGGAGGATTTAGGACACCCTGTTGCAGAGAACTGTGTGTATCCAAGGGAAAACAATTAGTAAATGTGCCATAGGATGCTAATGCTATTGTGATGTTTTAGGCCATTAGGACTAGACTTCAGTGCATACACAGTAACACTAGCATCCTATGAAACTTTTTAAGTTCTTCCTTGGATACAAGTTCTTCTAAACCCAAGAACCATGAAACCCACTCTCTGCCATAATTTTCTCACTGGAAGAAAAACCCATTGGCATGGCTAGGCCACAAGGACAGGTTCAGACCTCTGGAAGAGGTTTGAGGAACCATCATTCCAACCTTCAGATCCTGGTCAGATCTGGTGGATCCTACAGAGTTGAGCTCCTGATGTGCAAATGGGCAGGAGTTCCTTCTTTCAGCAGTGTGAAGGTAACAAGAGAATAGTTGGATTCCTCGCTGTACCTAAAACAATGATAGCAGGGAGAGTTGTGATGGCTTGGTATCTGTCTGTTATAACGTGTGACCTCCAATTGACAGCATAACCATCATTGTGAAATATGTGACCTGCATTTTGAGCATGTCAGTGTAGTTTTCCCAGTTTGGACTTTGGTAAGTGCCTAACTGGAGCTTTACAGCATATGAGTTAGTCACACAATAGAGAACACAGAAATCTTAACTAAGGGCAGGATCTGCTTCAGCTTCCCTCTCTCCCATCATGGACCACTGCCAGACAACAGAAGGACTGCAGGAGAGGCCTACCCAGCTGACACACTGGCTGGCCTAGGACTCACAAATAGCTGCGAGCACAGACTCAGGGGAGAGCAGGTATGGGCTTTTTGTTATTTTTCAGTAAGATCTGTAACTCCTGTGTGCTTCAAGGATAAAAAGTAACTGTGATTTTAGGAACTCCCCTGCAAAGCCTGTGTTCCTTACTCTGCCCTGTAGTTCCTGGGAAGTTAAACTATAAACTGTGGTGCACTTGGCAAGGTAGAACTATAGGGGACATGAGTAAGTGACTGGGGAAGTCTCACCACTGGTTTCAGCACCTAGAGCGGTTGGACTGTGCAGTCCCGCCTCCCAAGGAAAGGTGACAGCGAGTCTACGTTGTGGAGTGTACCTTAGCAACCTAGACCTAGCAACAGTGTCTGGACTGTGCCCAAACCCTGCTGGCTTGGTAGCTGATGGGATCCAAAGGTTGGTTCCATTCCAGACTGGTGACCATGGACTAAGAAGGGATTCAGCCAGGTCTGTAACAAGAGTTATCACCTAATCAGGAACTCATAAAAAGGGCAGGCACCCTTTCAGGCAGAAGGACAACTCTTCTGCAGAGTGCAGGAAAAGGCTTTCCAGGGGGAGCTTTCTACAGCTCAGTCAGGAAAAAGGGTTATTCCTAGGCAAAGCAAATGTATATTTAGTCTTTGAACATAAGTTTTTGTATAAATTGTTTCCTGGTTGCCCATAGGGTGAGGGGGACCAGGTTAATCAAAACTGCTGCTTTTCAAGTTCAGCCACAGTACATAAAGGGGGCTTTTTTTTGTTTGTTTTTGTGACAAAGACCTTTAACTGGTTTGGGGGCAATTCCTCAGGGTGGACAATGGGGCCTTGACACACTACTGTTAAGGTCAATGGGGTTACACGTGCATTGGGGCAGAAGACTAACACTTCAGTCTACATGGCAGACATTTGTTTAAGGTGAACTGCAAAGCTTTTATAAAATTAAATGAGCCCTCTATTCATCAGATAACAAATGCTTTGACTCAAAATTATATAAACACATCTCTTTCTAATGTGCAACCTTTGAAAATGAGGATCTTCCTTTACTCTTCCTCCAGGGCTTCAGTTCAGGGGCATATATTTGTCTTATATATTTGGCATATATGGGTGATAGCACAACTACCAAGAACAGCTGTGGTTTTGATGATTTGTAACTTCAGTGCTTGTTGCACACACTATGATCTACTGGACTCTAGTCTGGCAGAGTTCATCATACGGAAACTGATTTTCATAATGTGCGGTTGGGGGAAATTCCCTTTCCGGCCCTAACTTGTGATCAGTTTTCTGCCTTGAACCATGAGGCTTGTGAAACCTTATAATTTTTGCCAGATACTGTATCTGAAGAGGCTGTTATTAGACATTCAGATTTCTAATCTGTTTTAATCTTGCTAAGATATTTGTCCCAATGTTCAGCAACAGTGAGTTCCATAGGTTTGTATCAAAGTCTTTCTTTCACATGTATCTTCCAATTTAAAAGAGTGCTCTCTCATGATATGGAAGACAGGAAAGAGGAATGCAAGACTAGTTTTCTCTATGTATAATAAAATACATTTTTATTTTATTTTATACTGCAGAGTTTGTCTCATAAGATGTATCCCATGCTCTACTCTATAAAGTTAAATGAAGAATGAAAGCAGCAGAAAGGAGAAGTTAAGATGAAGGAAAGGAAGGTTTCCAGGTTTGAAGTGAGATGAGGCAGTGAGGCAGGAAAATGTGCCCAAAGTTGAGAGCTGCAGAGAAGAAGGCTCTTGCACCAGAACTAATCAGATTATGTGCACAGACAGAAAGAAAGCTAGTGCAGCACAACTGGAGGAAGGAGGACGGGCAGAAAGAGTAAAGCAGGGACAGAGAGCTCTTTCAAAAATGAGAAAAAAATTGAACTGGATCAAATGGGAAGCCAGTGGAGTTGTTTGAGGATGTGTCTAATGTGATTGTATTTCCTTGTAAAAGTAGGAAGGTGGCCAGAGAGAACTGAGTCTCAATAGTAAAGGGGTGAGAAAATGAATGCATGGATGAGGATTTCATCAGAGCTGGAGATGCATCAGCCAATGCAGATGGTTATAGGCAACTTGGCAGTTATAAGTAACACATTACTTTATATACCTCTTCTTTTCATTTGAATAATCAGTGCTAGCCTCTTTTTAATCTCAGGCTTTTAAATCTCTCCTCAAATGGATGCCAACACCCCAAACCTGTGCTTCTAATCTTCAGTGGCTCGTCTCTTTAGCTATCAAGAAACAGCCTGGCTTACGAGTATGAAGCCGTGGAATTTGAAGGGGCATGTGGGATTTGCTATATGTTAATTTTTACGGTGTAATTAGAAGACTGATTGGAATGTGGTGCTATAGGCTCTTCCAATCAGAAGAGTACAAATTACACTTACCTACTTGAAAGTAATAGATACAGAGTAACTCCAAAATTATATGTATTGAAGCATCCTTCATCTCATGGGAAGGGATGAGTGGTGTTAGAAGAGTGGTGCAAAAGCTTTGCAAAGCACTGAAGGTCCCAGGAAGAGAGCATGACATCCTGTGCTAGCTTTGTTTCTGAATTTCCTCAATCATTGGCCTAGGAGAACTACAAAGTCTGGCTTTGTGTAGGCTTTTCGGCCAGGAAGGAGGATTTAGGAAAGTTTCTGGAAGGAAAAAAGCAGGAGTTTGGGAAGGGGTTGAGGGGTGCAAGGCGCCATAGGTGCTAGAACTAGTGGTGCTGTGGGGGCGGCAGCACCCGCTGGCTTGAAGTGGATGGCATTATATACAGGGTTTACAGTTTGGTTCAATAGCTCTCAGTACCCCCGCTATACAAATTGTTCCAGCACCCCTGCAAGGCTCTGTTTTCTTTTGTATAGGGTTTGTGTACTTTTTTGGCCTGGCAGCAAGGCAGTGGATGAATGGAATGCTGGGATTATATTATCCAAACGTGGGGAAATCAGATAAATGTTGGACCCCACAAATATTTAGCCACAGACATCCATTGTAAAAAGGAAGGATTGTCTTGTGGTTAATCCACTGGACTAGGATTTGGAAGATGAGGATTCAATTCTCACTCAGCCTCAGACCTTCTGGGTGACTTTGGCAAGTCACTCAATCTCTCTGTGTCTGAAACCTCCCTGCTATACATATCCCTAGACCGGTGATACTCAGACTGAGGCTCGTGAGCCGCAAGTGGCTCTTTAATGTGTCTCCTGAGACTCTTTGCAGTACATGATCTTGAAACACTGTGTGATTTAATTATTAAGCAATCAAGCTGCTTTTACTATGTTATTAACCAATTCAAGTTGACAAAACAGTACTTGGTCAGTTATTTTGCTGTGAGAATAATGTGTTTACATATATATTATTCTTACAGCAAAATGACTGACCAGTGTGTGTGTGTGTGTGTATATATCTTTTGGGTAATGTTGATCACTAATTTGGCTCCTAAATCACTGAGGTCTGAGTATCACTGCCGTAGATGAAAAATGTAGCTATTAAAACCGGGAGACACTATCACTGGCCTGTATGACAAGTTAAATGTTTCTTTTATTCCACAACATTTAATACTGTATAACAAAGGAAACAGAGATAAAAGACACAACTTTTAATGTAGAGCATCAGATCCTACCCACTTGTACACTCCCGGGAATGTTGCCACTAACTTCAGTGGGAACAGGAGCAGGCCCAGAGTGTAAGACCTTTTTTGCCTATGATTTTAAAAGCCATTCTTTGGTGTGAGTAACTCTTATCTGATAATGCTAGAAGTGCAGCCTACCAGTGTGTAATTCTGCAAAGAAAAACTGCTACTCACCTGTACGTTTTTGCAAAAGCTCAGATTTTTGATGATACAGGCAGTGTGACCAACGATCCCTGGGACTGTTTGGTGAGTTAACAATAGCATCCCCAGGTTCTGCAGCACCTCTCCATGCATTAAAGCATCCTGCAAAGAGCAACAAGCTATTCAATCACTGCTGATAATAACAGTGCTAAAGCATGTGATGTGACTCCATTTTATGTCATGGGTAGGACTACCCCAGCTCAGCTTTCAACTGTTTTAAACTAGCTCTTTGGTAGCTGCAGTTTAGTGCTGTAGTTCTCAAATTGTGGTCCACTGACCATTCCCGTTACACAGAAAACATGCTGGTGGTCTGCGGAGAGTGGATGATCCGATGGTACTGGCTGATACTCCTCATTTCCAGCTGACAAATCCCATCAAATATTTAAAAATATTACTGTGCCAGCCAAGCAATAGCTGTAGTAACCAAAGGGAGGCATGTGATTGTGAATGAGAAGGGCAGTGCTCTGGGTAATGGTGAACGGAAGAGGTAGGTCATTCAGCAATCTTTACATTAGATAGATATGGTCAACTTGATTTGTTTTAAACAGACTAATTTTTTTAATCAGTTTGTGATCAGGCACTTTTTAAAATCACATTCCTGAAATTCCTTTAAGACCACGCTTTTCAAAATGCTATGCTGGTTTCTCTGCTCTCCTATTGATATTTAAAGGCCTTTCAGAAAGCTTACCACTTGCTGAACTTCCAGGCTTCTCTAATGCCAGTGGAATCGGATCCTAGCTCCAAGTTTGGAACTGTGGGCCACCAAGTCTCCCTGGTATTAATATAAACTTATTGTTTTTCAGTAAGATGAACTGGGGGGGGGGGACCTCTCACACTGACTTAATCGCCTTTGGCTCAGACCCATAGTTGCAAGCAATACCTAAGATCATATTGTAGCTAAAAGGTTCGCAAAGAAAACGTTTCTCTGTTCTTTCAGTCTGTTTGCTTTGGGAATTTGACCGTACTTTGTGTAGAGTCAGTAATGTACTTCTTTATTCATACTGTTTAGAAACTGAGGCTTGCTAGTAAGGATGTACTAAATCTTTAACCCTGCATACATACTGAGATGAAAGACATTACTCTGGAGTTTTGGAATGTCAGGCTCATTGAAGCAGCATCAAAGTTAGATGTCTTTAAAAATCAGTTTAAACTGCATTTTTCCTGATTTGTAGGTTGTTACAAAAAGGGTATTTTATTTTCACTTAATATTGGCTGACATCTTCAAATGCATCCATTCCAAACACAGTCACAAGGTGAAATGCTGAAGCAAAACATGAAAGAAGACAAATCCAAAGTACAGCATGATGGTTAAACTTGGGGAACAAAGTATGACTTAACGAGCTCAGATGTCTAAATGTTAGGTTTCAGTTAGGGTGTGGTATGTACAGATATATGCTTCTGAATTTCTCTTGCGATGTTTTTCCCTCCCTTCATAGACACAACTCACCTAATCTTACCTAGCTAGAATGTGCTCAATTAACTGTAAAGACCATTTTGGATACTGTTTAAGTTTGACTCTCTCTCTTTTTTTCTTTTTTTTTTTTTTAACTTATGTAACTCCTATTGACTTCAGTGGAGCTACTCCCAACTTGCATCAGCAGGGGAGGCAGCTCGGGCCTTTTAATTGAGCGCAGACCAAAAACAAACTCTTACAGTACATGAGGGCTCCACTGCCAATCTTTCTCATACATGTAGGATATACATTTGATCACTATCCCATCTGTTGGCAGGTGTTAGAACACTAAATTCTGATGGGCCTGCAGGATTTTGCAATTATATGTGTGAGATCCAGATTTCATTCCAAGTTCATTATTGTGATCCCCTGTTCAGTGAGGGAGAGCCACAGAGGCAGCATTCTCAGTAGAAGATGGGTAAACAGATTCAGATGAGTACTGGCCAAACTTCTTCCCCAGACTCAAACAGTTGGAACTGAAAAAAGATCCTAATCCACACTGGTCAGGGAAACCATTCTGGCAGCAACTGTTTTTATCATTTTAATACCTGGCCTTTGTAAAGCACTCTGAGATCCTGTAGTGAAATATGCTAGCGAGGATAAATATTATTCCCATTTTACAGATGGTGAAACTGAGATGCAGAGAAGCAAAGTTACTTTGTGTCCTAGAACAAGTTAGTCAGTGGCAGAACCGTGACTAGAACCCATGTGTTCTGAGCCCTGATCCCTTGCTCTAACAAGCATGGCTTCACTTCGTGCTGAAAAGGCCCTTTATTATAACACCCAACCTCTTTCTTCGGGCTTTGGGATTGGATTGCCCTTGACGGAACTGAACAGAATTCTCTTTGCAGTGGGGAAGCTAGTACAGTGTTATGTTGAATGCTCACCGTGAGTCAATGCAATGGCCAAGCTGGTGAATCACAGAGAGGCTTTCTGTTAACAAATGAAGGCTCCATGAAACATTCCATCTGATTAAATCCACGGTAACTAAAGGGCAGATGAATTTTACCCTATTGTATATTGGCTGGTATTTATAATGACTCAAGCATTACTTCATTTACTTGTAAATGTTAGCTTTGTTCTGTGGTTTGTTTTCCTACTGCTGTTCCCAGGGAACAGTCCCTCTAATTCACTCAGAATTCAGACCAGGCCAGAGAAGGACACCTTGAAAAGAGCTGAAAAATAGGCTAGAAAGGGTGAGGGGGGAGGGAGGGAAACAAGGGACAATGGATAAGAACCTTGTCTAGATACTCAGAGTTGAATCTCACAATGTAGCAACATTTAACAGTCAGTGACAGTGATGTTTGCTCACTAAAATAAATTTCAAAATGCAAACACTTCTCACCAGAGAATATACCCTTGAGATGACATTTCACTTCCAAGTGTCCTATTGCAGACCCACATATTACCCTTCCCCGGCTAGATGGTTTGACTGTTTCATTGTCGATGTAATCATTTTGAACCTCTGGTCATGTTGGATACTCCAGCTGTGCACAGACAGGATGTGCCTTTCAGGTGACTGGGGGTTTGATTGAAATACTTGACACACACACATTTTAGAAGCCATGAAGGGGATAGGTTGTATGCATAGCTTGCAGGGGGGAGGGAGGGAGGGAGAAGGTTGAACTGCAAGAGGTACTTTCTTGGAAAATGAACAGCTTTATTATTGAGGTAATATTCTGACCTGATTCCTCACATTGAGTAACAATTTAGTAACCCCATTGACTTCACTTATTTAAGTTGTAAATTCTTTGGGGCAGGGACTGACTTTTCATTCTGTGCATACAGGGTCTTGCACAATGGGGCCCAGATCCATGACTGGGACCCCTAGTGCAAATGCAATTCAAATAAATAATATGCATAATGCCTTTGAAAGGCATCATGCCTCCAGGCACTTCTGCTTGGGCAGTGCACCTCCTCTCCTTTCCCAGCACACTACTGAGTTGTAGGAGGCATAATTTTAACTGTTCAAGATCAATTGATATACAAAGTACCAGGTCTGCAGTTCCCAGTGGGAGTTTCAAGCCAGCATGAATTTCTTTCAGTAATTAGCCACTAAAAGCCCCCGAAACAAGCCTTGGGTAGTCAGATTATTTTGTCACTACTGTAAAAAGCTACATCATATGATAGGCTTTCACTTTTTTTCTTGACATCCTTAAATGCTAACTGACTTAAGAGGTTGTTAGCTGAAAAATCCTATTTTAAAATTTCCTTACTTAAATTACTAGCGATACAGTCAGCTATTGTAATGGAAATTATTGTAGAGATGTTGTTTTTCACTATCTTATACTTTGTTTACTTTTGCATTTCTTTCTACATGGACAAAGAAAATACCATGGTCAGCGTTTTGTTTTGCTTGTTTTTATAATCTACTTCTAATCAGTTTTGCTTTCAGGTTCTCAGGCATTAGCAATAACATTTCACTGTTTGCGGTACTGTTTACCTTGAACAAAATAGCCAAATCCTAACTAATGGTTTGTCCACAAAGGGACAATTAAAGCATCTTAAACCCCAGTGTGGATGCTCTCATTCAGAAGTAAAGTGGCCCTGTTTGCTTTAGCTTAGTGCTTCTTCAAAAGAGATTAATTCATTTGAACTTTCCTGAGTGTCCCTGTGTAGACAAGCCCTAACAAAATTACTATGCCAAGCCCTGAAGATAAGAAGTAGCTTTCTTTCTCTGACCTGATGGTCTCAGTCTCTCAGCATATTATTCTTGTGTCCTGCCATTCATCCTCCCTCCTGAAAAACCCCTTAGCCCTAAGTCACTAGCCCTGCAATGCTTGGAGTGTAGTGGTCAGTAGAGCGTGGGCTGGTGTGAGTGACCTTCTGCTTATACAGCTGCTCTTCAACACAGAGGACTAAACTCAATGTCCGCTTGGTCCCTTTAAACCCACACAATCCCGATATTAAATAACTGTCTAGGTGCAGTTGCGGTAGCTAACCCTTGATCCCTTTGGGAAGGCCCTTTCTGCTTTTCTATGGAGATTTGCAAATTGAGTATTTATATCAGTAATTCATTATATGCAACATTAACATTGTTGCCATAGCATTACTTAGTTAGGAGTATTAAAGGTTTTATCCCAGACAGCGGTGAGAACCCCCGCTATTCAGCAACCATCATCCTTACCTGGTTGGCCGGGTGTTGGGATAATATCCAGAGGAGTGCAATAGAAGCTTGTTGAACATCTGAATTGCTAGATGCAAGGAGAGAGAGCAGCTTGGGAAGGATGTCCATTACGATGTCAGCCTGAATGTTCACTGTTTGGAAGAATGACAAAGCCGCTCAGTGGGGGGTAAAATGTTGTTAGAAGGTGTATGGCACAATTATGGTGCTGTCTTCATGAATGTTAGACTGACTTATGGCTGAATGGTGATATATATATCCCTGTCCAGGCAGGGCCAAATTGTGTTTTACCATGTTATAAAAATCATGCTTTATCTATTCTGTTTCCCTCTACCAACACTGTGTCTGGAGGAGTAGTATGGACCCAGATTTGAATATAGCTTTGAAAGCACTTTGGCCTTGTTTGTATTGGTCAACCGAACCATGTTTGAAATTAGTTTAGCTGGAATGAGTTAAAGTTCATGAGGACTGTGTGTAGGGTGTATGTATGGCGAGACAGAGCCTATCTAAACAATTTTTCCATTGCTTTAGCGCTGCCTGCCACTGCTGGAATGGTACAAAGGGATGGAATGAGACAAGGTTTTGATTCTTTGGAAGAACACTTCCCGTTTTGTAATTTTAAATCAATAAATAAACCATCTGTTTGAAAATGCTTGTCAAGGACAGGCCTAGTTTCTGTCCCAAAGCATCCAAAATGATATTTCTTTTCCTCCTTTGAAAGGAAGCCAAGAAACTGCTCCAATTTGGTCTTCAGTCTTGTAAAATAACTGAAGAACATCTCTTCCCAAGAGAGAAAATTTGGGAGATGTGGTCAAGTGACTTTAGACAAATTGACAGAGAAGGGAAAGGGCTCATTTGTCATACCACAAACACACACACAACTTGGCAGTCCTGGAGTAACAAACTTGAAGGCAGGCTGGGAGCTATGGGAGCAAAATGAGTGGATCAGAGAGGAGAGCACTTACAATTAGTTCCCTACCGACTGAACTAAATTGCACAGTACTAAATAAGAAGTACTAGTGAAGTACTTGCTTTAGATTTACAGTTCAGAGGAGATACAGAAGAAACTGCTCATGAGAATTGCCCTAAAATATTTGTAAAACCAAACTAAAATGACACCTGTTTATGATTTAAAAATCTAACGTGACAGAATGAAGAAGAGAAGACCCTGAATACATTTCAAAGATCTAGGGCATCACTGGTGCAGGAACAGTAATCGCACTAGGGATGTTTGAGTGAGGGATGGGAATAGGTGGCATTTCAAAAAGGAGGAGGATGAAAACAATTGTGATCTACTAGATACATGTACAACTGGTCTTATACCTCTGCACTATCACAGACCAATGCTTATTTTTAGACAGCTAGTTACAGTGATCAACTGTTGCAGAGAAATTTATAATTAAAAAGTACACTTACATAATGGAAATCGCTTCATAAACTATATACAGTGTAACGGCCATCATAGAAATACAGCCGCTTTCCTGTCATAGATTCCCAACTATTTCTTTAGGGAAAGATTAGTGGAAATTGTCACTGCATCCTTCATTGGCCAACTCTCTTGTGGCTTGTTCTGCCACAAAAACAGAAAGCAATGTGCAAATGTTACAGGGTTTGGAAGTAAAACTCCTGATAACCCTGGTAGGGATAGTTCTGTTCTGTTTAGGTTCTTGTACTTCACTCATCATCACTGGCATCTGTTTTGTACTAGTACTTTTCTGGCACTGTGGGTATTCTCCAGACAGCCAGCAGATGGAGTCAGAGCCTCTACTGAAGCCATAAAGGACAGTTACACTTTTGGACTAGTACAAGCAGTGCAAAAGGCTCATGAGCTCTTAGTATGTTCATTCCATATGTGAAGAAGCCCATCTAGACTTTCTAGACACAGGCTTGCTCTAGAGGACACTGCTGCACAGCAGGGTGTGAGGCTTCCCTTTCTCTTCTTCCAGCCCAAATGTGTATTTTAAAAACATATATCGTACCTGTAAATAGGGCTTGAATGGCAAATATGTAGGGCCAAATTATGCTTCATGAAAGGCAAAGCCGTGCTCAGGAGGAGGTGGCAGTGGCACACTACCTAAGCTGCAATCTCAAGAGACATTCTAAGAACATAAGAGCGGCCATATTGGGTCAGACCAAAGGTCCATCTAGCCCAGTATTCTGTTTTCCGACAGTGGTAAATGCCAGGTGCCCCAGAGGGAATAGAACAGGTAATCATCAAGTGATCCATCCCCTGTTGCCCATTCCCAGCTTCTGGCAAACAGAGGCTAGGAACACCATCCCTGCCCATCCTGGCTAATAGCCGCTGATTGATCTATCCTCCATCCACTTATCCAGTTCTTTTTTGAACCCTGTTATAGTCACAACATCCTCTGGCAAAGAGTTCCACAGGTTGACTGTGCATTTTGTGAAGAAATACTTCCTTTTGTATGTTTTAAACTTGCTGCCTATTAATTTCATTTGGTGACCCCTAGTTCTTGTGTTAGGAGAAAAAATAAATAACGCTTCCTTATTTACTTTCTCCACACCAGTCATGATTTTATAGGCCTCTATCATATCCCCCCTTAGTTGTCTTTTTTCCAAGCTGAAAGGTCCCAGTCTTATTAATCTTTCCTCATAAGCAAGCTGATCTATACCCCTAATCATTTTTGTTGCCCTTTTCTGAACCTTTTCCAATTCCAGTATATCTTTTTGGAGATGGGATGACCACATCTGCATGAAGTATTCAAAATGTGGGAGTACCATGGATTTATAGTGGCAATATGATATTCTCTGTCTTATCTTTCCCTTACTGAATGATTCCCAACCTTCCATTTCCTTTTTTGACTGCCGCTGCACAGTGAGTGGATGTTTTCAGAGAACTATCCACAGTGACTCCAACATCTCTTTCTTGAGTGGTAACAGCTAATTTAGACTGCATCTTTTATATGTATAGTTGGGATTGTTTTCCAGTGTGCATTTGTAGCGAGGCGGTGTGGTTCCCCGCCACCCCAGAGAGGGACGAGCCCCTCTGGACACCAGAGTGGGCGGGGCAAGAAACCTCTGAGCCTGCCCCCCACAGAGGGTCAGGCACAGGACAGCAAGTAGAAAAGGAGGGGGGCCAGAGCTCACTTGGAGAGCAGACGCCTCCCGGCTACCTATGGCGGACCCGAGGACTGGCCTGACATGCTGACGCTGAGCAGAGCCCAGAGGAGCTGCCCAGCCTGCCCCTCACCAGTTACCCAGAGCAGCCCATGGTGTTTGACCCCGCAGAGGACACCATCTGGACCCATTTCAGAGGAACAGCCGTGTTAGTCTGTATTCGCAAAAAGAAAAGGAGTACTTGTGGCACCTTAGAGACTAACCAATTTATTTGAGCATGAGCTTTCGTGAGCTACAGCTCACTTCATCAGATGTTTACCGTGGAAACTGCACAAACTGCACAGTTTCCACGGTAAACATCTGATGAAGTGAGCTGTAGCTCACGAAAGCTCATGCTCAAATAAATTGGTTAGTCTCTAAGGTGCCACAAGTACTCCTTTTCTTCATCTGGACCCAGGTACCTCTAGAGGGGGAGTTCAGAAGTAGCCCAGGGACAGCTGACCCTAGTCTGGCTGCAGCACGGTCAGAGCCTATGTCAGTGAGTTGTGGTCAGGATCCCCACGGACTCAGCAGAAGGCCTTCTGCCGCCGCTAGGGCCCCGGCCTGGGACGCGGTGGAGTTGGTGGGCCTGCGTCCCCCCTGCCACCCAGCTTTTGGGTGGCAGTCTCCCCCTCTCCCAGGCCCCTATGAGCCGAGGGCCTAGGCTGGTTGTTTACCTCCCTTTGTTCAGCCTCTGCCTGAGGGCCTAAGCCATTGACTCTCTGTTGCCCCACCCTGACCCCGGGCCTGAGCCTGCTAATTGTATAAACTGTTGCTCAGTCCCTGCCTGAGGACCTGAGCCCTTGACTCTCTATTTCCCGCCGACCAGGGGCCAGGTGAGAATAACTGTCTGTGTTTGCCTTTGTTGCTGCTGCGGTGAGAGACTCCCATGGCCTGGCTAGTTTCCTGTCAGCAACGGGAAGGAAGTAGCAAGGCGGAGTGGTTCCCCAGTATCCCGGAGAGGGACGAGCTCCAGCCAAACCCCTCTACAGCATTACTTTGCATTTATCAACATTGAATTTCATCTGCCATTTGGTTGCTCAGTCACTCAGTTTTATGAGATCCCTTTGTAACTCTTCGTAGTCTGCTTTGGACTTAATTATCTTGAGTAGTTTTGTATCATCTGCACATTTTTCCACCTCACTGTTTATCCCTTTTTCCAGATCATTTATGACTATGTTGAATAGGACTGTACAGAGCCCTGGGGGACACCACTATTGACCTCTCTCCATTCTGAAAACTGACCATTTATTCCTACCCTTTGTTTCCTATCTTTTAACCGGTTACTGATCCATAAGAGGACCTTCCCTTTTATTCCATGACAACTTACTTTGCTTAAGAGTCTTTGGTGAGGGACCTTGTCAAAGGCTTTCTAAAAATCTAAGTACACCATATCCACTGGATCCCTCTTGTCCACATGCTTGTTGTCCCCCTCAAAGAATTCAAGTAGATTGGTGACGCATGATTTCCCTTTACAAAAACCAGGTTCATTCTTCCCCCCCAAAATCATGTTCATCTATGTGTCTGACAATTCTGTTCTTTACTATAGTTTCAACCAGTTTGCCCGGTCTCAGGGGACTGCAATCACAAGGTGTGATTGCAGCTCGGGTAGCATGGGAATCAGAGAAGTGAAGCCACAGCAAGATGTCCTTCAGCAAGTCCTAGCCCCACAAGTAATTACTCAGGGTTCCAGGTAGGCTTGTACAGCCTGGGCCAAAGCATGTACTGCCTTGGCTACACTGCTCTGGGACCCAGGTATGTGTACTCCAGTCTATGCGTGCCCTTATTCAGACTCAATGCTTTGTGTGTGCTGGTAGGAGCATAACTAGCAGTGGGACTTGCTACACTTGAAAAAGCTGAAGGTACTGATCTGTTGCTAGTTACACAGGGATCTTTCTCTCTCTATCCACACCTTGGCCAGATATTTCATCTCCAGGCCTGTGAGCACTGAAGTCAGGGTTAGCTAGCACAACCCCACAAACTATAGGTTTCTCCTAGACAGGTGTGCTGGAGGGGAGGGGGCTCCCTTTGCCCTGTACTTCACCCAGTTAGGGCATCCATAACTGGGTTCCTAACAAGCAGGAATTTCCCCAACCCTCCCTCCCTCTCCCAGAGAGAGGGAGGGAGGGAGAGGGAAAAAAAGAAAAGTGTTTTTCCCAAACACATTACTCACCACTTGTGGCCAAGTTCCTCAGACAAACACATGCCTGTCTTGAAACCTGGTTGTACCAATAAAAAGAAAAAAGTGAGCACTCCAGTAACTGATTCTGTTGGCTAAAATAAACCAATAAACACTGTCTACAAAGTGTTTATTCTGGGGTTTCTTTTCCAAAAACAGTTGCTGAAGGCCAGTACATACAGTTATGAATTAACACCAGCTTCATTTCCCACCACACAGACCTGTTGATCAGTACCCATTCATGTCGACCAGGTTAGCGTCACGTGGATTTCCACATGCTGCCCAGAATCTAACAGTACATTCTCAGTGTTGATCTATCTCAGGAATGTCAAATGAACTGAAAAGACGGGGTGATGGAACAATTTGTATAGTGCAGGTGCTGAGAACCATTGAAGCAAAGTGCAAACCCTTTATATGATGGAAACAACTTAAAGTCACGGGGTGTGGCAGCACCCCCCTTCCCAAGTCCCAGCACCTAGATATATAGATATGAATGCACTGGATTTATTCGCTTTGCTTTTTCTCTGTATTCCACTGAAATAAATCAATATTCTTCTGGTATAAGAAAGTAAGATGTTTCCAAGTAATCACCAGCGACATGAACATTGTGGTAGCTGGACTGGGATAGATGTCAAAGGTGAGATGGGATAAAAGGCAAAGCTGACTTAGAGCTATTGTCTTATGTCCCTTATATGCCTTCTGCTAACTTTCAGTGCCCTACCAACGTATTTTATAAATCCTGAGAATTGCCAGCCTAGAACCTTGAAACACTCTGGGGACCCAGAGTGGCAGAGGCTTGGATTCCTCTCACAGAAGTCCTAGTGCGTGTCCAGGAAGGAGTGCTGACTATGGTCTGTGACAGCCTGTAACTCTTATAATGAGCAAAACCAAATCTCTGAAGGTGAACACTCCTGAAGTTTGGGAACACCTGGCTCCAGATCTGAACTCTGCAGCTCAGGCCCGACTCTTTGTTTCCATCTTCAAAGCAAAGTGCTATCAATAATTGTAACTTTGCCGGAAATGTGATAAAATTCTCACATCTAGTAAAGTGCCTCAGTTGCATGCTATGGGATCTACAGTAGTAAAGTGCAGTTTCAAAGCCTCCCCTGCGTTTGCCTGGGGCTCCCTAATTACAATGTAAAGCAATCTAGTTGCATCATAGCTTCTTCACGCTGAGTGTAACATACAGAATTAAAGAAACCTCAGGAAAATGATCAGCAAATCTGCTGTACAATAACACACCTCCCTTCCATATCTTTTTCACTTTACCTTGTCCACAGATGAAGACAGGAGAGAAATGAGTGTCCGCAGAAGGAATCTGTCCCCAACTCGCAACATGGCTTCATGGTGCTGAGAGTTGGCTGCCACATTGCTTAGAGCAGCACAACTATAATACTGACGAGAACAGAGAAGGGGGTGGAGAGAAGATGTCACTGTGGCAGTGTTTGTTCAATACAGTGAAAATCAACAGGAGAAAGGCTTAGATTTTTATTTGACAAAAGTGTGTACTTTTCAACTTCAAGGTGTTTTACAAACATTGATTAAACCCCAAAACACCTTTCTGAGGTAGGTAGGTAGGTATTAATACTCACATCTGGCTGACTGGGGGAATGGAGAGAAACTGAGACCGAGATTGTGATGTGCCCAAAGCCACAAAGGAAGTTGGTGGCAGTGCTGGGATAAGAATGCAAAAGCTCGTGGCTTCTAATTTCATGTGCAGGACACACGTCTCTTTGTTTTCAAGAAACAAAGTGTACAGAAAGTCAGAAAGTGAGCTTAATGTCCTTTGGGGCAGATATTGTGGAAAGCATTCATGAGACAAAAATTCCTCTGTCCATTCTATTACAGCTTACTCTAAGCAGGGCACTTTTTTTCTGGCCACACCCCTGGCGTCTGAGCCTAGTTAACAGCCCTAAGCAAGACCATAAAGGTACAAGATATAATCTAGATTTAATCAGGGAAGAAATATTTTGTCAGAACCCACAAATATAGTCTCATAATGGCCCCCCTTCTACTGGCAAATCTCAGCATTCGGGGTGTCATTTCTGCAAAAAGGGTAGTTCAGGCACTTCCCAGTCCAGAATGACACACACACAAGTTCTGCTTGAGCTAGTGTGCTAAAATTAGCGAAGTGGCCATGGCAGCATGAGCAGCTGCTAGTTAGTTTGTTTCCTGCTAGACATGATGGAACGTATTTATATAGCATCCACCATACAAGACCCTCAACAGTCCTTGCAAACAAAGCTAGGAATAGAGCCGAAACCTCCTAACTCCCAGTTCTTTGCTTTAACATGTACGCTATGCTTCCTTGCAGAAATATTCATCTGAGACTAAAGACATTAGCAATTACTTATATGAGAAATTAGAGTTTGAGAGGCTAGCAGTACCTATGTTAAGTAGACATAAAGAACAGGGATGAAGAGCTTGGAAGAGGCATGTCTCGGAGCTTTGTTGCAACATATAAAAGTTTGCCTCACCCCCATATGAGACTGTATTTGGCAGGCATCTGGAAAATTCCAGGAATCATGCATTCTACATTCAATAGAACTGTTCATGGGGCGAGGCTATACCAGTCTGCACTCCTCTTTGAAGATACTCACTTGTTTTGTTTTATTAGCTTTGAATGATTGTGCTGACATGTCAAGAGAGATCAGTGGGATCACACCCAGGAGAAAAGCATTCCCCCCACCCCCTGCCAAAGGCATCAATGCCATTACTGAAGGCAGTCATCTTGCACTGACTGACTAGACAGGTACAGCCACATTCAGCAAAGCAAAAAATAACCATATTCAAGCCAAATGATGCAGTATGTTCTACTGCCCCAAAGTGAGTTTATCATAGAGACTCTCCCTGAAGGAATGGCAAAAATATTTTGTCTGTCACTAGTGTCCATGGACCAGATTAATCTCTCGGGTAATTTGTACAGCCTCTAAAGAGTTGTAGAAGGGATAAATGTGGCCCAAACTGTTTGTATAATGTAAAAAGGGAGGTGCAGAGAAATTCTCTCCCAGGAGAAATTAATGCATGTTGGCAGAGCAACCTGTTGTGGTTTTTCTTTTTCTTTCGCTTGTTTTGTTGGTTGTTTCCACTTCGTGATCAGGAAAAAAATCTTCCACCATAATGTTTGGGTCTTAAAAGGGCTCCATCTTGTCTTTCAAATACCTCCTTGAGCGTAAGGAAATTTAAGGGCAGTAATACTGCTGAGGGGGTTACAGAAGGGCAACCTCACCATATCCAACCTTTGATGCTCCAAAACAGATTCCTGACACGTGACATTGGGGAGATGGGGTATTAATGCTCAGACTGTATTTCCCAATAACTGGGACCAATTATGTGATCAGAAGGTCTGAACTGACATTCCATGACTGGAAGACAGAAGCTTGTGGAAGGCACTGGCTTATATTATATTGACTGCCGCCCTTCTGTTCAAGCCTCCTGATGTTGAGAATACATTGCCAAAGCAAAATGACTGGCAAATGAGTACAGCATCAGTTATGAGCAAAATCCCTTCAAGGAATACCATGGCTGGCCTCCCTTTCTCCAAGAGGGCTTCCATATGCTAGCAAATTAAACCAAGTGCTATCATTTGTCCTGCTACATTTTTATTTTTAGCACTGGTAGGAGCTAATTTGATAGAATTACTAGTAAGTGGGTGAAGGATGCATGCCTTAGATGTAATATGTTTAGATTTTAGTAAGATATTGAAATAGCAACTCACACAATATTAATTCAAATTGGCTTGTGGACTGAAAACAATGTGCAGAATCTTAAACTCAAGTCCTTGTACACACCAGGAAATTGCACCATTGCTCAAAGTAGAATTCTGAAACTGTATTGAAAACAATGTTTTTGGAGCTATTTTACTACTTGAACTATTTTCGTTTCCTGTCCACGGAGACTTAGTATAGAAGAAAATTGTCTGTGATAGTTCCACTTCCTAGTGCAGGGATAGATAACAATAAACATTGGTCTGTCTAATTTAGGAAGGAGTAAGAGACACATTACTGAAATAAGCAGATGCCAAGGAGGACAAAAAAATAATACAAATGGGCCCTGACAATGGGCCATACAAGTGTGGCTTGAATTTACCTTGGCCCCTCTCCTCCTACCCTACATCCTTTCCTACATCAAGCATAGATCAGTCAGAAGGGAGACTCTCTCCCAGTATGCACTACAGAGGATGGTATATAACCATTTGCAGATATTGGAAGGGTGTAATCACCAAGGCTTATTTAGTGAGATACAGGAAGGTATAATTTGGAGTAATGGGATAAAATAGAGAAAGGGAATAATTAAGATGCGTATCAGGAAAAACCTGTGAATCTGGATGTGTGTGGAAAGTAGTTGTAGAGGTCCCAACTCTTGGGATATCTAGAACAGCACTGGATGAAATACTAAAAAAAATATGTAAGAGACCAGGAGACAGACTGGATGATGTAACAGGTCCTATCCATCTTTAATGTCCATGATTCTGGTTGTTGGCTTTCTCCAGATTATTTTAATACAAAGCTCTCTTCATAGGTGTGCATAATCATGAGATGCTCATGTACATCACCCATTGTGTGCAGGTAGGACAACCCCCCATTGTGGACTATGCACTCCATACACACAACCAACTACAAGAATATTTTTAAAATTACACATCTAAAATATTGGAAAACTTTAAAAGGCAAAATAAAAATATGGAGGTACAAGTAAAGAGAGCCAGGCTTAACTGTAACTGGTCTGATGTATGTCCTCAAAGGTATAGCTGATACCTACAAAAAAAACTGACAACTGACAGGCAGCTGGTATTCTGATACCTTTGGTTATCTTACTGACCTGTATGGTCTCATTGTTTTCTTGTGTTCCCCCTGTCTGTTGTACCACCCTATTGTCTCTTGTGTTATACTTAGATGATAAACTAATTGAGTTTTTACACAGTGCCTAGCACAATGGAGCCCTGGTCCATGATTGGAGTTCTTAAGTGCCACTTAATATAATAATAAAAAATTAATAATTAACATAATAATTAATAATCCCCCACTAACTTTTTCTGTTGCAAAAGGATAACAGGAAACATGAAATCTATGATTCTGCTAGAGAGAAGACTTGTATCTTCACAACAGCTTTGTGTGTATTTTCATATTCGCTTTCTCCTATCATAGCTGGACCTATGTTGCATGCCCAAAGCAGTGTTTATACAACTATTCAGCATTTCACTATGACACCATTACTTATTGGTTCACTGAAGTAAAAACAAAACAAAGTCAAAAGCCCCTTGCGTCTCTTATTTCTCCTTCCTTTCCTCTACGCCCAGAACCCTGAATTCTAATAGTTATGCTTGCTCCTAGATTGTATAATTTGCTTTTATTATTTAAAAGTTCTGGCTTGTTTTAACTATACCTGTACTTCTGAGTCAGGAGACTCTAACATCAGTATGAGGACAGGGAGGGCTCCTTCCCTGCACAGGACTTGCTGGATCCGCTCTGCAAGGTGAGAAAAAGGGCAAATTTTAGTATGTGAAAGGGAGCAGAAGGATCACCCCCTCCCCAGAATACAATCAAATGGATGCACCATCGTGAACCCTTTCTGAGAAAAAGGCACCATTGGGCAGTGCTGAGTGATTTAAGTTCATCCACATTTACCCCAATGAGAGTAACTTGCAATTAACACTCCAAATAAGACAAAGTCTGTATGGGAGCTAGTGCAGAACAGCAGTGGAAAATCATTTTAGCCATAATGACCTGAAAGCCACCTGAGCAGGCTTTTCCTCTTTTTTTTGTTTTATTTTAAGTTAAAGATTAAAATTGCTAGAAGTGCTAAGCAAAGATCAGACCTACTGGTATAAGCCATTTCTGTCTATTTCATATAAAACATCTTTTTAAACAATATTTTGAAAATGTGCAATTGTAACAGTCAACAGGCAAAGTTCTCACCCTCCCCCAGTACCTCATCTAAAGGGGACAGATCAGCCACAGTAGTAGTATTTTGGTGCATGGGCTTGACCTCTGACATAATGTTTTCCCATTGTTTTTGTTTGAGAATTAATGAACAATAATATTGCCTTTTAACATAGAGGGACAAATCATGCTCCCACTGAAGTTCATGGGAATAATCCCATGAAACAGGATCAGGCCCATAATGTTTATCCTAATGTATACACCTGCAACACCAGGTTTGGGATACACAATAAAACCTAAACCATGATTCACCATTATCAAGTAATCTTCCATTTTAAGAGATTACCTCGAAGCACCCCGAAGTGTCCTGAGTACAGTTCTCCTTTACTAGAATGGTCACTACTTTTAAACAACTGATTTTTGTCAGTTTCCTGAGTGGTGACTTAATAGATTGCACTCAGATTCAACTGTGTTGATAATCAAGGCCTTGCTAATTACAACCTATTAACAGGTGGGTCTGTATTAGCTGCCAGAGGCCAAGCTTTTTGAATTTAGAGACTCAGCCAAGGTCATCATCATGAATACAATTTATCAAGAAAATGACACGTGATCAGGATTCCAAAGTTATCCCATCTTATCCCTCATAAAATTAGGTCGTTTCTAGGTTGTTTTGTTTTTTTAACACTGAAAACACGTCCATTTATTGTCGTGTCCCCACACTCAGTTTCCATTAGCTACAGGGCAGTTGTTTTTGCCAATTTGTAGATAGATCATTAACCTGAAAGTACCTGATCGTGTGAGGTTGTGAATAGCTCCAACTGCATTTTGTTGGACTCTAGGATCATAGGAGTTGGCAAGTGCCAGCAAGGGTATAACTCCCGCTGAGCCGATGGCCTCTCGGTTGGACTCTGGGGAAAACATACCATGAGAGAGAAATAAGAAGACTGTCTTTTCAGTCTGTCTTCACATTAATCTAATAAACCCTGAAAAGGAAGTCTAAAACTAGCTTTATTTGGGATTTTTATCTGAATTTTTACTATTTGTCTAAGTCCTTTAGTATCCTCTGACTGAATCCCATGAGCTCAAAAAGAGAGATGCTAACTGCAGAAATTTTAAATGTCTCAAATTTACCTTATAATCCTGATGTGCTCTAACAAGGTATTCATGATCTTGTAAGTATTATATTAGCAAACAAACCTTTATTCTGTTTGTAGGTAGGATTTCATTAATTTATCAGGATAAACACAGTGAACCAAATTCTGTCTTTGGATTATCTGTGCCACCCCAGTGCTTAAGGTTAAGATTTTGTCACAGATAGGTTGTGGGCAATAAACAAAAATCCACTGAAATCTGCAACCTGTCTGTGACTTTTACTAAAAATAATGGGGGAAGGGCTGACAGGGGATGCCTGAAGTGCAAGGGAGGGGCAATGAGAGCCTGAGCCTTGCTGGGGGGCAGGAGACGGGGGCGGGAAGGGGTCCAGCACCTGCCACCCTAGGGGACTCGGAGCTCCAGGGTACTTCACCTGCGGGGACTTGGACTTACAAGTCTCCCCACTGCCTGCAGCAGCAGACGGCTGTGGGGTCCCTGCTGCTCACTCTCTTGGAGCTCCAGGGCTGGCAGCTTGGAGCTGTGGGGGCCCCCTGCTGCCTGTGGCAACTGACAGTTGACAGCTCCAGCCCCACCACCACGGGGCTAAGGCAGAAAATGTCACAGAAGTCTGTGGAAGTCACAGAATCCATTACTTCAGTGACCTCTGTGACATAATCTAATCCTTACCAATGATGTATAAGGGCGTGAGAACAGAATTTAGCCCCATCAGTGGAATTAAGTAAGGTAACCCTGTTTCACTGTACTTATATTTAGCAGTCTGTAAAATAAGTTCTTGACCTACCAGGAGTACGGCGAGGCTTTAAAAAAGGATTGTACAATACTTTTAGGTCCTTGGATGAAAAACACTATAAACGTTTGAGAGAGACAAAGTAGGTGACGTAATATCTTTTATTGAACTAACTTCTGCTGGTGAAAGACACAAGCTTTTGAGCTTCACAGAGCTCTTCTTCAGGTCCGTGGAGCTCAAAGTCTTGTCTTTTTCACCAACAGAAGTTGGTCCAGTAAAATATATTACCTCACACAGTTTGTCTCTCTCATATCCTGGGACCAACATGGCTACAACACTCTAAAAGTGAAAGGCATTTATTACTAGTTTATAAAAATTCTACTTTGATGGCTATGTCTTATGGTATATTTAATCAATTCATATTCATACACTAAATATTTTGGGCCTTGTACGATGTTTCCTCAACCCAGTCTTGAGAGAATAATAACTTTCCTTTGCTGTAATGCCTATAAAAATCTTGATAAGTTAGGCCACTGTTGTGCTGAGACTATTGCCTATCATACTGACCAATGTTGTTCCATTGTTACTTGTACTCCCCCCATCAGTCTACATTCATCTGCTGTCTCTTATCTTATACTTAGATTGCATTCTCATTGGGAGAGGGACAATCTTTTTATTCTGTTTGAACAGCTCCAATCACACTGGTCCTTGTCCATGACTAGGGCTCCTAGGCACTACCACAATACAAATGATATGTAATAATAATAACCCAAGGTGTAACTTAATTAGAAAATTTGGCTGTCTGGAACTAGATAGCCCAAAGTGAATCCTCATGGAGGAAGGGGCAAGAAAGTTAGGTGAGAAGCTGTTCTTTGTATTGCTTTGGACACGGCCTGCAGAAGGCTAGATATTAGTTTGTTACGAGGTCAACTCTTTATGTCCCATTTCACCCAAAGGCTTAAGAGGCCAAAAATACTTTTACAGTATGATGTGCATATATGCTTTTTCTGCACTTCAATCAGTAGAAGCAAAATTTCTTTTCTGTAGCTTTACCTGATGACAAATAGTGTGGCATGATATATGCTCTAATTAGTTCAGCAAAAGAAAGATTTAAACAGATTAGGAATTTTGAAACTACCTCCTCCTCCATTCTTTCACACACTACAGTGTGAGCTGTGTCTATCAATGTGGGAAGGAAATTCATGTCTGGACAAGGTAATTTTATAAAATCTTTTTCTCTTTTCTTCCCTCCTTGGGAAATTTTTCAAATCAAACCTCCTTGCTGGGAGGTTTCCTAAGAAACCAATGGCATTAATACTGTATCAGATTCACAATGCACAGTTACAACTTTGTCTCTTTAAAGCTTTGTTAAAGCTTTGTCCTTTTAAAACTCTTTGTTTCTTGATTTGAAAGGGCCTCAAATCCATGATGGCTCAGTGGCTGAGTGTTCAATGTTCTTGGCCAGTGCTTGGACCCTCGATCACTCAGGCTGTTTTAGTTATCATTTAGACAGAAGAGGAGTAGCATGAGGAAATTAATCTAGAAGTCTCCCACCTGGCTGAGAATGGTTGGTGTGTTATCTCTCGTAATGGGAAGCTAGAAAGACCATAGCAAATACCTATGATATAATTACCCCATAACCAAGAAAGCCGTGTTTTTTTTCCCTAGGGTCATTCACTAAGTTCCTCCACTGAACTGATGCTGTGCAGTCTTGGGTGAATATTATAACTGTAAGCTTGCTGGATGCATTTTTATATAACTCATTTTCCTCACTCTTCTCCTCTCCCCACTCCAGTGCTGGTATCACTCATGCATTGTAGCTGATCTCTAGCTAAGTGGCTAATCTTATCATAGGGATGGACAGAGATATGCATCCCACTGAGAGAGAATTAATTTTTTATTCTAATCTCCATAAGAGCTGCAGCTGAATAGACTGTTTTTATTCTGGACCACCTGCTTACCAGAGTAATGTCAGTCCCTTTATTGCTACCATTGCTCAGGCCCCACTTACTGTGCTTTTAAAAAGGGACTAAGTATCCGGATGTTTCTTCAAGTCAGTGTTGAAGACTTAATAGCTTCCTCCAGTTAGCTTCCTGGATTTAAAGAACTCTTCTTGCAACCTACATCTCTTAGTTCCAGTTTGTCAATATAAACCATTTCTGTGCACTTGAAAATTCTCTTGGCACTACAATTCCTAGAGATGTGTGCACACAATTATTGACAACAAAGAAAGAGAGACACTCTGTAAAATTGGATTTATCATCAAAACCATTTTTATACCTGGCTCTCCTTTGTAAGGAAAACATGTGAGATGTTCACCTTACTCAGTCTAACATGAATGCTCAGGTCTCCCTCAATTGTTGCTGTGAACATTCAGTTCACATTCTCTCTGCTCTGCATTACCTGTGCCTATTGTTTATGCTAGAGTTACTGTTGGCTGTTTTACCTTCACTTAGTACAGTGCATCTCGTTCTATCCCTTTTGCTTGCTTTGGCAATATTCCTGTGTTTTCATACACCCCTTTTGGTTCTTGAACTGTGATTCCTTTGAACCTATAGTCAGACCCTATTACTACTTCCAGGCTTCCTTCTAACTAAGATTTCTGTGTTAATAACGCTCATTGACTTCATAGGCTTACACCAGAGACGAATTTGGACCAATAACTTGAGACCCCAGAGGCGGGGGGAAGGGATGCGGGCGGGTTGGGATGGGGAGGGATGCAGTGAGGGGATGGGAGTACAGCCCGATTCCCAACACTCGGAGACGGGGATACACATACCTCGAACTCCTGGGTGCCGGTGATGGGGCAACTGACAGACTGTGGTTTGCTGCAGGGCACGTGCCACAGCTCGAGCCCAGACCCACGAGGAGCGCGAGGAGAAGAGGGCCAGGCAACAGCGGAAGATGTGCACGCCACATGACCCCTCAACATCCACCTGCTGAGTGCTCGTAAGTCATGCTCATGCTAGTTTCTCCCCTGCCCTGACCCAGCCAATGAGAGCTGCACCTGTGGGCGGGGGGTGGGGCAGCACGTGGATCCCCCTGGCTGCCCCTAAGGCTAGGAGCCATACATGCCAGCTGTTTCCCAACCAGGGAGCTGCACAGCAGCTAGCAGGGAGCCTGCCAGCCCCACTGTGTGGTGTGGCACCACCCCCAAGTGGACAGTCAACAGCCTGGTCAGCGGTGCTGACTGGAGCCCCAGGATCCCTTTTTGATTGGGCATTCTGGTCCAAAACCGGACACGTGGTCACCCTAGGCCCCGGCCCTAGAGCTGCTGTGGCCAGGGAGAGACTCTCCCCTGGCCCCGGGCTGCTGTGGCAAGAGAGGGCTGGGGGCAGTTCTCTCTCCCTGCCGCAGCCCCATGGCAGCCTGCACCCCAAATCCCTCATCCCCAGCCCCACTCCAGAACCGCACCCCCAGCCAGAGCCCTCAACCCCCACACCCAAATCCTCTGTCCCAGCCTAGAGCTCCCTCCTGCCCCCCCAAACCTCTCATCCCCGGCCCCTCCTCAGAGCCCGCACCCCCAGCCAGAGCCCTCAACCCCTGCACCAAAATCCTCTGCCCCAGCCCTGAGCCCCCTCCCATGCTCCGAACCCCTTGGCCCCACCCCCACCACACATGACCTCCATATTGGTGCACATAACAAAATTCATTCCACACATGGACATAAAAAATTAGTCACTTTGTTGCCAACCCCTTTTGCAATCTAGTTCTCCATCTTTGCCTTTTTTTTTTTTACCCCTGGTTAGTAATCTTGTGCCATATTATGCTGTCACTGAAATCAATGGAGAATTCTAGCTCAAAGGTGAAGTAATGTCCAGGATTGATTACTCCAAGCCACTGACTGTTAAGATGGCTGGGGGCGGGAAACAACGACAACAACAACCTGGAGCATCTGCAGAGGACTTCAAATTTGGCTTCAGAGGGTGTTATGTATACGCTTTCATTCAGAAATCCTATGCTGACCTTGAAAAGAACTGACCTTTTGCTCTCTTTCTTCTTAATGGATTTCATTTCTGCTTATGTTCCTGGCCACTCTTTAAAGCTGGCAATTGTTGGATATCTCAGCTTCCTTAGGTATCATCTGCTGTCATATTTATAGACAGCTTCACTTTCCTTCGTTGCTTGGGAGCTTATTGCCAGATGAGGGAGGGTGCACTACAGTTCTTAAACTCAGAATCCTTAGATTTAGAATTTAGTAATTTTTTAAAATTTTAAATGATTCTCTTAAAGATTGAATGTGCTTCCATGCTAATTTTATTTTAGGATTGTAGAGCACAGTAAGAGTCTTATATGAAGAGCTTTATTCAAAGGGAAATGACTGTATGAGTTTTTCTCAGATAGACCCTTTAAGATCTTGAACTAGTTAGAACTAGGTTGTATTCTAGGTACTGAGTTCTTATACCACCCACATCACCATAGTCTCTGAGCAACTTCCAGAAGTGCACTAACTTTGGATGTCAAATGGATTAACTTTATCATGGGTGAATAGTGAAACTTCCAGATGCATCATGTGACTACTCTACTTACAAGTGGTTATTTCACATGCAGGTGTTGTGACATATGAATTGAATTTGTTCATTACAGCAAATAAAGGAAAAAGACATTGTACTGACCTGAGACAGCCAAAGTCATTATGCAGGCACAGGAGTTGCACTGGACAGCAGAGTCCCCTGACTCGAGCAGCTCCAGAATTGGCTCAAGTAAACCCATTTGGACAACTAGTTCTTTGTTTACTATTCAGAGACAAATAAAATGGTGACTAGCTAACACATCCTTTATAGGTGCAAAAATTATATCTTCTCTTGGATTCCTTTGGAGTCTGTATATTATTTTATGCAAAATGAATTTAGCATTGAAATAGATTGGAATTTATTGCACCAAAATGCACATGGATATAATGTTTTATTTGAGAGTTCAGGTGATCAGTTTTTTTAGATTTCTTTACTACTGTATAACTGTATATAAACCTGGCTCTGTATTATCCTGTAAAGTGACTTCAGATATATGAAAAATTGTAAGAGATCCTTGTTATAGATTCTATCTGAGGCCCATAATTTTTATTATTCATACGCAAATAGTGACACTCCATAACTTACAGCAAGTCACCAGAGATAAGGGGCTAGATTCATACTAGCTTGATGCTGGCTTCTGCTGGTGCAGGGTAATGTAATGGAACGTCTACATTGGTATGGCTCCAAGGGAGGGCAGCAGTGGTAGCACTGCCTGTCTCACCATGTAGATGAAATTCCTGCCCTGCTAACCCATCGAGTGTAGTGAGCTTTACTGGTGTAGGGCAATGTCATCTATAACTCCCTGGTCCAGCCGGAGTGAAGCTAGTCCTGTTTTATAAAGAAATAAGTGAATCTTTCAAAAAATAAATCTCCTTTTTCACCCAAAGCAGAAAATAAGATCCAGCTAGCTGTAACAGAAAAAATAAGCATTATTTAAAAGTCAGACTTTGATTCTAAGACTGTATTTGTTGCTGAAAAGACAGCTGCAGTGTTCTCACTCAGGCATGATGAAAGCCGAGTGTGAGTACTGGTACTCTAAACATAAATTGGGTCTTGGTGAACAGAGAAATCTGTTTCCACCAAGAGCAGAGATCTCTTGATATTTACTCACTGTTTCCTTCCAGCAAAAAATTTACGAGGGACAAGGAAGACATCTGCTGAACCTCCATGTCACTGGACTGCAGTAAAGCATAATAGGGTTCCAAATGCTCAGCAGGCAGCTGGGTGTTTACTGTAGAAATGAGGAAATAATGAACAAGTCTCTCCACTTTGTCATTTCTTCATGTACCTTCAGGCTGAGGTGCTACCATAGTCAAATATTGTGCATTTATATTCCAGTGTCATTAAGGAGATCAGGCCAAGCTGCTCACTAGCACTTTTAATAATCAGATATTTTAGAAATATTATTGGCCAAACATGGGGAAGGAGGGGAGAAACAGAAATTACTGTTAATGTCTAGCTACCAAACGAGTGTCTCTGCCCCATATCAGATCCTAGTTTGGATGACTATGTGTGCTTTTCAGCCGTAAGAAACATATACTGTAAAGACATCAGGCCAAACTCTCTACTTACGTAACTTTATTGGATCAAGGGAGTTGCACATGTGTAGCCAAGGGGAGAATTTGACCCATTTTCTGATGTACAAACTGTTGAATACTCATCTTATAGAAAAAGTATTTACTCACTCTTCCTCTCCACTGTCCCTACTTTGTCTGTTACTTCTCAACTCAAAATCCTGAATCCTTTCACATAAAGTCTGATGTGAGAAACCTCAATATCCAACTTCGAGCTGGACGGTCTCTGCTGGACAGTTGTGTACTGATTCCTGCTCATGGACCATCTCAAAAACTTCCATCAAAGAGCTATTGCAAATGCCTTGTTCCTGAATCTTCACTACCATCTGGCCTCTAGGTTGTCATCTCCTGGGGTTCCACAGTATAGCCCTAATAGGACACTTCCTCTGCTTGCTCCCACGATAGCCTATGCTGTGTAACTTATGGGGAGTTCAGAGTACATCCAATTCAAATGTAATGCGCATATCCTATATAGGCTGTGTTGAAATTCTACAGAATTGTCATAGTTATAAAGGTGACTTTATGTCTCTGGTAGGCACCAGTATCATCTGCCTATAATAAAACCAGATGTCACTTGTTCTACAAGTGACTCTGCACATATGAAACTATGACAGCACTTCCTTTGCAACAAGAGATTGAAAAAAGATCTTAAATTCATAAAAGAGCTTAACAGTTTCGGAAAAAACTTGTTATTTAGTTATATTTATAAAAATCTTCAAATGCACCGGAAGGAGCTTACTTACAGTGCTGACTCATATGCAAGTAATATAGAGCAGCAGACTGCTGTAAATCAGGGTTTTCTGAAAATGCTAAGGTCCTCAGAGCTTCCAGGGAGTCCTTTCCAAATGGAGACATTTCAAAACCTGCGGAACGTACAATGACAGCACAGATTTAGTTAATCCTGAAAAGGTTTTGTGTATGAGGAGTTCAGAATTCCCAGGGATTAAAAGCAGCCGGCAACCCAAAACACAAACATATGGACTAGCATATTGGAATGGTCTACAGCAAGTCTACTCTGATATCACATCTCCAACAGTGGCCAGTATCAAATGCTTCAGAAGAAGGTTTGATAAACCGCGTAGTGGATGACCTGGAATAATCTGCCCTAGAAGCTTCTTCCAAACCACTGGCAGTTAGTGGTTGGAAGCAAGACCATTTATATCCCTTATACATCTTTTATCATCTAATGTAAATGTGGATGTTCTTGTTATAAACGCTTTTTTGAATCTACTATGCCCCTGGTTAAATGATATCTTGTGATCATAGGTTCTGGAGCTTATGTATATGTTGTATGAAAGTATTTCCTTTTCTTGGTTTTAAATGTATTTTCATTGTGTCCTGTTAGTATTATGAAAAAGGGGCTATTGAAATGAAGAAATGAGCTGTAATAGGACTTGCCTCACGCTCAACTTCCACCAGCCATCAAATAGGATGGTTGCCCTTAAATATAAAATTAGTGTTCTACAATTACCACCTCAAATACTGCAATATCATAATTAATGCAAACTGTAATGGTTTTGCACCATTCTTGCAAAATACTATAGTACATTTTTATAAGGCTGGAGTGGAGTGGAATGGAGAGTAAAAAAATGCCCAGCAATAAAAACTGCTGAAAAGAAAATACATTTCTAAAAAGTTCATTCTTAGTTCGTGGAAACCACTGCCTCAGGATATAGTTTTAGCCAAGAGGTTAGCACAGTGCAATAAAGGATTAAGTATTTATATGGATTACAGAACCATCTATTTTAGGCAGGCTAGAAGGGATATAAACTCTAATGCTTCAGTACATAAACCAACCACTTATTCAAGTCATTAGAAGCTGTTGACACTTCAAGTGTACAAAACTCCTACCTTCCGGATTAAGTAACTGGGCCTCAGACAAGCATTGATTATTATTAATTTTGGTTATTAATGAGCAACCATTATACAAGGAAAAATTAGCCAATATTTGTAGATTAAAAAAAACTTTTAAAGATTAAATTCTGCTGCTGGAAAGTTGAGTGGCTGAATCTCCCCGTTGTCTATGTATCGCTGGATAGGAGAATGCCCTTAATACACATCTTGCTATGCTGCACGGGCTAATGAATGAGTTTCATAACTTCATTATCAAATGTGAAGTCTGTACTCGGGTCCAAATTCTGCTTTCAAATACGGACTCACGGATCTCAGTGGGATTTGTAATAGGACATGTGAGACAGAATTTGGCCCTCAGTTTTTATTCAGTCCATGAAGTCAAAACTTCCCATTTCTTTGGGAGTTTTGCCCGATTAGAATCTGAAGACTGAATCACCCCCTCTTGAGGTAGAACCTACAAGAGAGAGCCAAGGAAGGAGGAAAACTGCAAGGTTTCCCTGTGGAATTTCCTCACGTCATTCTGTGAGGACAGCAAGATTTAGCCACAGCATAAACCACAGTTCTACTCGAACAGGTTGGCTCTTGGGAATTCATCAAAGCTGCAGAGGTATTGTGCCTCCACAGCAGCTCTAGGCCCCCTGCAGCTCTGCCCTGGCTGCCTAGCATCAAAGAAGCTGCACTGCTAAGGACTCCTCAGCAGGTGCCTGCCCCTAGGTCTCCACTTCAAGGATCCCATCACAGAGGAAGAGGCTTCTCAAGAAAGGTAATATAACTGCTTCTGAGAATATTGAATTTTCTCCTCTGTTTCTACTGGGTGCTGAGAAACTCCAGCCTATCCACTTCTCCCTACCACCTCCCAACCCTCATTCTCTGCACCTAACACACCAATGGATCCTAGGACCTGAAGACAGTCCTCTGTGACATCTAGGGGAGGTGGAAAGAATACTGCTGCAGAAATAGGTGTCCCTTCTTCTGCATGTGAAGGAGGAAATCCATGCCCAGAGGGGCCCCTCTACCCAAAGATACTATCATGCTGTGAATAAAGACTTAGAATTTGACCCATAGTTAATGTTCAACCATTAGTGAACTGCATCATCAGGATGGGCCCACCTGAAGGTATGCAGAATGTGATACTAATTAAGACTAGCATTATCTGAAGCAAATTCATGCATGTTCCAGATAAGTAGTATTGCAACAAATAATCTGAAAGATTTTTCCGTGGTTGATCATCCCAGACAAGGTTATCCCTGTCACACAAAAAACAACACCTCTACTGGCCCCTCTGTCAAGGTGTATTTATGTTGCAAAAGAAAAGAGTAGAGATAGTAGCATTTTGTGCCTTGCTAGGTGCACATTAATGGAAATAGAAGGCTCATATTTTATAAATGCAATACCAGCATATTTTGTATAGCCACTTTGGGACGAAGACTATAATAAAAGCACTGTACAGAATTAAGCAACAGCACAGAGAAGGGTTGGGGCAAAGGGAGAAAGACATGTTTTTATCTTGGATTTTTAAAGAATGAGAATTAACCAAGTGGACAGATACAGGAAGGTTTTCCTTGATTGCAGGAATTGAAAAGTAAAATGTTCTCACATCATTGGTGGTGTAACTATATAGAGAGACAGAGAGGAGGCCTCTGCTAGAGGAACAGGGATCTGGGAGCAGAGACGAGAGCTAATCTATGAAATACAGAAAAGCCATAAGGAATTTTATACATTTTGGTAATTTTGAACTGATGAATAGGAATCCAATGAAGCTGTATAAGAATGATGTGGTCACACATTTTTGTACACATGAGAAGTCACACAACTGAATTCTACATATGCTGGCCTATGGAGGGATGAGCCTTCACCTGGACAGGCATAAAGAAGGGAGTTGCAATAATTATGGTAGAAAGAAAATGCTGCCAATAAAGCTGTATATTATTAATATGGGTGATAGTTAAGGTTAAAGAAAGAAATATGATGACCAATGGGAAGAAGACAGAAAGAGCACCTAACCAAGAATTTAATCCCGTGGGATTCTACAGAGGCAGGGAGTTGACCCAGGGAAGAGCCATCAGTTTTGTAGAACTGGAATTAAGACAGGAGGAACTAGAGATGTCTGTGCTGTTTTGTAAATGGAATGGACCACAGAGTTCAGCTCAAACAAAAAAGAAAAGTCTTCCTAAGCAGGTCATTAACTACATGAAGAAAGTGGTTTCCATGTTATGACAAGAGTGAAAGTATAAAAGCCACCAATTGCAGCTAACATGAAACAGCATCAGCTATCCTCTCTCCACATCCAATTTCATAGCACAAAAGTAGTGAAATGAAACCTTTCCTATCAATTCACAGGCTAGCATCTACAAACAGTGGCTACAGGATAGAGAGCTGAAATAGGACTTGAGAGACCTGGGTTCACATCCTAGCTTCACCAGTAGACTCCTGGGCACTTTAGGCAAGTCACTCTTATCCCTGTACGTCAGTTTCCCTATTTGTATAATGGAGGGAATGGTACTTTATAGAGCATGTTAAGATCTGAAGATGGAAAACCGTCTTATAGCTCTCATAATAATATATAATCTAGTTTTCTATGGACGTTCCCCTTTTCTTCTCTAAACTAAGAAAATTCAGAATAAACTATTTTTAAACATAAAGTCACTAGGAGCCACAAAATGTAAAGTTAAGAAAATGCAAAATTTGCATACCAGTATTCAAAAAAGTATGTAATAATTTAGCTGCTAAACTCCAATGCTAATTACTGGGTATAATGTGGCTAAAGTATCAGATACATTTTCAGTGGATGGGGCAGTGGAAGTAATGGGAGAAGTGGCAGAAGCATGATGCACGCTGGTTATTCTGCACTGCTGGAGAGCATTGATACTTAGGATATGTCTACACTACGAAATTAGGTCGATTTTATAGAAGTCGATCTTTAGAAATTGATTTTATACAGTCTATTGTGTATGTCCCCACTAAGCGCAGTAGGTCGGCAGAGTGCGTCCTCAATACCATGGCTAGCATCAACTCACGGAGCAGTGCACTGTGGATAGCTATCCCACAGTTCCTGCAGCCTCTGCTGCCCATTGGAATTCTGGGTTAAGCTCTCAATGCCTGATGGGGCAAAAACATTGTCACGGGTGGTTTTGAGTACATGTCGTCAGTCTCCCCTCCCTCCCTCCATGAAAGCAACTGCAGACACTCATTTCATGCCTTTTTTCCTGGGTTACCCATGCAGACGCCATAGCAAGGCAAGCATGGAGCCCACTCAGCTCACTGCTGCTGTTGTGAGCATTGTAAACACCTTGCACATTATCCTGCAGTATGTGCAGAAGTGGGCTAAGAGACGCCAACATGAGGACGATTGTGAGGAGGATATGGACACAGACATTCCTGAAAGCATGGGCTGTGACATCATGGCGGCAGTGGGGCTGGTTGATACAGTGGAACGCTGATTCTAGGCCCAGAAAACAAGCACAGACTGGTGGGACCACATAGTGTTGCAGGTCTGGGATGATTCCCAGTGGCTGCAAAACTTTCACATGTGTAAAGCCACTTTCCTTGAACTTTGTGAGTTGCTTTCCCCCGCCCTGAAGCGCAGAAATACCAAGATGAGAGCTGCCCTGACACTTGAGAAGCAAGTGGCAATAGCCACTGTGGAAGCTTGCAACGCCAGACTGCTACCGGTCAGTCGGGAACCAGTTTGGAGTGGGCAAATCTACTGTGGGGACTGCTGTGATCCAAGTAGCCAATGCAATCACTGACATTCTGCTATCAAGGGTAGTGACTCTGGAAAATGTGCAGGTCATAGTGGATGGCTTTGCTGCAATGGAGTTCCCTAACTGTGGTGGGGTGATATACAGAATGCATATCCCTATCTTGGCACCGGACCATCTTGCCAACCAGTACATAAACCGCAAGGGGTACTTCTCAATGGTGCTGAAAGCCCTGGTGGATCACAAGGGATGTTTCACCGATAACAGCGTGGGATGGCTGGGAAAGGTGCATGACGCTCACATCTTTA